TATACACAGTTCACTTCTATAGGGGTATGGCAGTGGCCTCATCACTGAATGTCCAATTCAGCTATCCAAGAGATCACCTTTGGCGTTGCTTCATCCAGACCTTCTAGGGAACCAGAGACTGAACATCCAGGGCAATCTTGCACAATATTTTAATAGTTGCATGTCAGCACAACAATCACAAAAGGGGAATCTTTCCATCTCCATTGATAAGGGCAGAGGCACTTCTTCCAGTATCACACCTGATTTTGTTCAATTTTGACCAGACGAAGTGAGACAAGTCAAAACCAGGTGGTTTGGTAGAGGGATCACTAATGGTCAGGCCACAAGAAGGCCACCTTGGACCATTTCTTTCTCCAGGCATACTCGGGGTTAAACTGGGTAGATGTTAAGTGAATAGCTGTTTTCTGGCTTACAGAATTTCAGTCTTGTGATGGACCTTGTTGTTCAGCATCCTTGACTACAGCTGAATGAGAGCTTGTTGTCTTCTAATGTGGGGTGGTATGCTATTGTTAAGTACTGGTAACCAATACACAGGAGAAGAATGCAATGTGCCAGAGATGATATGCACTGTCTGGCAGAGTTGGACATCGGCCATTTGGTTGTAGGCACTGTTAAGCCACACACTGGCACAATATTCAGCTGTGGAATAAGCCAAATCCAAGGCTGTTGTTTGTAGGGTGTTAGCATCAGCACCCCTGGATGTTCCAGCCAGTCTGTAAATTGTTGTGGCTTTTCAATTTTGCAGCTGTTTCTGCCCACAATGTTAACCTTATATACCCAGATCTGTTTCACAAGATAGCCTCTCAGGGCCTTTTCTCTCTTGTAGCTATCAATAAACATACCCTGGCAACATCCCTCCCACCCTCCATGACACTATTTTCATCTCCAGCCCATTACAATCAGCCTTAAATCAGCCTTAGTTGTACTAGTGTTAAAGTAGTCTTTTCCTTCTTTAAGTCAAAAGTGCTTAATGGGAGCCACAAGACTTGTAATGTCTGTTAGGCTTTGTACCCATTACCTTGAAGGGAAATCAGATGACTTCAGTGACTGGACAGAAGGATAATAGAAACAGGATAGGGCTCAAAAATGGGACCGCAAATCTCATGCAGGCATTATTTTCTGCTGGTTCTGGATGGATGGATAGCTGGCACTTCAGCTTGGCAGTGAGGCAGTGTTTCAGTGTCATTGTAATTTTTATCAAGCTAAGCCCTGGGAAAAATCATCCTTCTCTAATCTAGAAAGAGAAACAGTAACAACATTGCTCCTCTCTTTATGCAGAGTGAGAAATAGGATTTAAATGCTAGGATGGATAAAGAGCCCCCAATTCAAGTTCACTCTCAGCCATGGAAACTCACTGGGTGACTTTGGACTAGTCACTCTTTCCTAGCTCAGGTTCTCTTAAAGGTTGCTGTTGTCATAAATTTAATAAAGAAAGATCCCCATCTAATCATCCCCATCTAAGAGCTGTGGTGGCGCAGTGGTTAGAATGCAGTATTGCAGGTTAATTCTGCTCACAGCCAAGAGTTTGATCCTGACTGACTCAAGGTTGACTCATCCTTCCATTCATCCGAGGTCGGTAAAATGAGGACCCAGATTTTGGGGGGGGCAATATGCTGACTCTGTAAACTGCTTAGAGAGAGCTGTAAAGAACTATGAAGTGGTATATAAGTCTAAGTGCTATTACTATTGCTAGTGAGCTCTTGGGGAAAAGGTGACAATTAATAATTTCATGAAACATACTGAACCATAATTAGCCAACCCGATTTTAGTACATGATATTGTGAGAGCCATGCCATTGGGATGGGTATATAATTTTCCTGAGAAAATACTTTATTCTGAGGAATACCTCAAATTCTGAAGAGTTGACTGTTGACTGTTAAGGGAACCTATGCAACCATCCTGATTTCCAGAATGAGAAACTGAGATCTCTGTTTGATTCTTTATCTGAGGACTTTGGAAAAAGGCATTACATTGGCCAACTGTTATGAAAGGAGACGCCCACCCTGATCCCTCATTTGACAAGCTCTCTCTTTTAAAGGGAAACTGACGTTTGGATGACATTCTCATGAGTGGAGTTTGGCTGCACTGTTCTTATAGTTAAATCTTGCATTGATTTAGCTATGTGATCTCCAAGTGTTGTCTTTTATTGTAGTCTGGCTCTATAGCATTAGATGACCTTTAGAAAAGTAAATAAGTGTTTGATTGTAATCTAAACTCTTGCTAAAATACTAATGGAAAAAGAGACAGGGAGATGGAAAGAATATTTTCCCTGGCTTCCAATACATCAAATAAATCCGAAGGAAATAACTCATGAAATGATTCCTGCCACAGGTTATTCTCTCTATTAAATTTTTTTTGCCTTGATAAAATTTTGAAATATTTTTCTTTCCCTTGGTAATAATTAGGAAAATTGTTGATTTCTTGTCCACAGATGTGATGGAACATTTTGAAAGGCTATTTATGTCTAGGAAGAAGCAGGGCCTGGTAATATTGAAATGGAGATTGATCTATATGTAGCTGGCTTCCCATCTCCTAGGCTATCTTTTTTGGCCATGCCGGAGGAGGAGGAGGAGGAGGAGGAGGAGGAGGAGGAGGAGGGGGGAGAAGGAGGAGGAGGATGAGGATGAGGAGGAGGAGGAGGAGGAGGAGGAAGTACCACCCACTGGATAAACAATGGTGCAGAAAAGATTATGCAGATGTGACTTTTTCCTTTCTAAGTAGTTGGGGACAGAAATCTCTTCCTCATTGAAATAGTTAATTTCATAGCAATTTCATATTTAAAAGTTGTACCTTCCTGGAAATTGGGAAATATCTTTTTGAGAGATCTGCATTCCAAAAGCTTTTATTTTTTATTTGCCCAACTATTAAAAGGAATTAAAGTACAATTCTATATATAAACTTTTAGAAATATGCTCCACTGTGTTTAGAGGAGCCTTTTCTAAGGATTGCAACCATTGTCTATGTGTTCTGTTCTCTTTTGCTGTTTTTTATGTTTTTAATTATTGGTAAATGGTCTCTTTTATTATTACTATTGCTTTAATCTGTGATATATTAGTTCAAGAACCAAATGGGTAGGAAGCAACATATAAATGAAAATGCAAAAACACTATTCCTCCTGTTTCTCATGTTTAGGCAACAAGAAGCATTGCTTTTGGTATCAACAGGTTGTTTGGAGGAATGCCAAAGATGCAGAAATACTGGATAGGCAAAAATAGATTTAGGTATGCAGGATAAAAATAGCTCATTGAAAACGTTGAAAGCCCACTGCGAACTGAGAACTGGGAACAGGAATGGGGAAATGGAATGGAGTAACTGGGATCCTGTATTCCAATTCTGCAGCATCTTTATAAATGTAGCTAAATTATTTTTAGCTTTTCTGAGGATGACCAAGATGCTCTTGTTTTCCCATCTCATGGCTGCTATCCTTGCACATATCTAGACTGAAGATGGAAGAGATTTTTTTTTTTCTACCACACGGGGTTGTTGGTCCTCTTGAGCTTTGCAATGAAATGTCACGGCTGCCCCTTTGAATTTGTAATAGCTTTTGCTCAGTTAAATAATAATGAATACTGTTATAGAGCACAATGACACATCCAGCTTGCCAGCTGTAGCCTCATTTTGTATCCCTCATGAAATACATACATTTTCCCCAAAATGAAGAATCAACTTGGTACGGTATGTGTGTTTCTGCTCTTGTTCCATAGCATTAACTTTTATGGAAGTCCCTTTTGATTTTAAAATGTGATCTGACAAAGAATTCATCTGTCATCTGGCATACTAAGTGCTTCCTGGAGCCTGGTTTATGAATGTTGGCACAGGAAAATCCTGGTTTGGGATAATCAACCTGTTTCAGCCCACTGAACCTCCTACCAAATATGGTGTTCTATGTGGTACTTTTTTCCTTCCAGCAAATGCAATAACATATATTGCTCTTTGGAAAGCTTCTGGGGGAGAACTGAACAGGAGGCAGTTAATACTCTTGTGAATCTGAAATGCTAACAACAAATCACATGTCTCCTTTCCGTAAAATGATTCAGGGAGAGATGCTAAAGACCTTTTCTATTTTTGGACAGATGATGGAACACACTGTATTCAAATTTGGTGTTACATAGATTATCTCACTATGTAACACCATATATAAAGGAAAAAGGTAGGAAGCTATGTTAGCTCATTAGGAGAAAACAAACTCCACAATAATTATGTGATATAGGCAGTCCTCGACTTACAACCACAACTGAGCCCAAAATTTTTGTTGCTAAGTGAGACATTAGTTAAGTGAATTTTGCTCCATTTTATGACTTTTCTTTCTTGTTAAGTGAATCACTGCAGTTGTTAAATTAGTAACATGATTGTTAAGTGAATCTGGTTTTCTCATTGACTTTTCTGTCAGAAGGTCACAAAGATCACATGACACTACAACAGTCATAAATGTGAGTCAGTTCCAAAGTGTCTGAATTTTGATGACCATGGGGATGCTGCAATGGTCGTAAGTGTAAAAATGGTCACTAAGTGAACTGTTGTAAGTCAAGGATTACCTGTACTTTATTAGGACCAGATAACATCATAAAATAGCAAGCCAGCTTTTCCCATTCTCTGGAATTCTCCTTGAGGCCGAATTTGGCTGGGTAACCTTTTACAGTGAGGATTGAACATTTTGGAGAGATACAGGCAATGATGCAAAATGGTTGGGGCTAATTTTTCTTGATTTCAGGAGCAAATACTTGATGTTTAAAATGTGCTTATTTTTGTTATCAGACTTGGATGATACTTTTAATGTTTCTCAGAATGGGTAAGAACTATGCCATCAATTTTTCAGCCACAGCAGCCAGAGGAGTTTGCGGATGTCAAAGAAATTCAGGGATGTAGTATGCTCACTCCCAGATTAGATATAAAGCAGAAAAAAGCAGGGAAGAAAAGAGGAAGCTGCAACATGTGGCACGAAGAATGAAATTTCTGATTTTATTGAATTAAATGACACCTAAAATTTGATAGCACTTAGGAGAACACCATCCAATTAACTCTGCAATCTTCATTTACATTTTAAGATTAGAACTATTTGAAGCATCCATCAGTCAAAAGTCATCAGGCAATTATTCTGTCTTTCCCTCTTTAATGGATCTTTTTTGTTGCTGTCAATAAAATGGAAATAGTGGGAAAACAATGGGAGAAATTACAAGAAAGACAGTATTATCTGAACCAAATCAAATTATGTGAAAAAGCTAGGATTGATTGCTCAATAATAGTCTTATCTAGAAGCAGCCTGTGATCAGATTAATATGCTGGGATTTCAACAGCAAATTTATCTTGTTTTCCTTCTCTCCTCATCCTTTGCATTTATTATTGAGTTTGATAAAGCTTTATGAAGACCTGGAAGCTTGCTTAGTATTCTGCAATCAGCCAAATAATTTTTACAAACTTAAGGAAGGGCTTATCATCCAAGGAGCTGTGGTGGCGTAGTAGTTAGAATGCAGTATTTCAGGCTAACTCTGTCCACAGCCAGGAGTTTGATTCTGACCAGGTCAAGGTTGACTTAGCCTTCCATCTTCTGAGGTTGGTAAAATGAGGACCCAGATTGTTGGAGGCAATATGCTGACTTTGTAAACCATTAGAGAGTGCTGTAAAGCACTATGAAGTAGTATAAAAGTGTAATGCTACTGCTATTGCTATCATCAAGATCAAATAAATACTTGATATATTTGTATGTTCATTATCCAGTGGTAATATCTCTCTTTAAAAGAACCCAGTAGATCAGATATAAAAGTGAGATACTAATAATTTAATATTTTATACATTAACACCATGTATGTAAAGTCACAGATCACTCATTTGAGTCTATAAACATATTTGGAAATTTATGATTGTGACGGAGATAGTTATCAAACTGGGCTAGATTAATAAAAAACTATATCAATTCAAAAGAAGGGGAAAATGTCCTATGACCTTTCACTGATTCTCTAAGACACTAGTCCCTACTATTCCAGTTTCCCTTTGTATTCTTTTCTGGACAGGTATATCTAAGCAAAGCTTTTGTGCTGCACTATGGTAATTCTCGACTTATGACCACAGTTAGGACCAAAATTTATGTTGCTCAGCAAGGAAATTATTAAGTAGGTCACACATTTTTGCCATGGTTTTTATGTGAATAACTGCAGTTGTTAGGTGAATAATGCATAATAATGCATAATAATGATAAGCTCTTATCCATTTGAGGCACCTTTACCATAATATTCCTTGGGGAGATTATATGTTTTATAGTAGGATCTTTAGCCATTTTTATGAATGGCTAAACACATTTCTTAAAAAGAATCAGTCCAAGTCCAAATGCTGAATTGGGGAAAAAAAAGATAGACACCATTGATAAAATTCTCCATCCTATAAGTTTATGCTCCCCTGCCCATTCTACTAGCTAATTTTGCTAAAGCTAATAGACCTTAGATCTGTCAGGTTTTCTCTTTATGTTCAATGTTGCGGAGAATGCAAGTTGGCTCCTGTCCTTGAAATTAAGCAACGGCTCAATTATCTATTACCTTGATTATAAAAAAAAATGACCAGTCAAAGATGAAATCTAGTTTAATTGCACTGTGGGAGAGATCATTAAAGTGACAACATTGGGGAAAGTGGATGGTGCAGACAGAGGAGCACTCAAAAAAAAAAAAGAAAGAAAGAAAGAAAGAAAGAAAAAGAAAAAGAAAAAAAGGAACAGTTAATATGCACTGATCACATGGAGAGGCACACTTGCAAACGTTGAATGTCTCCTCTGGGCCCAGTTCTGACATATACAAATATTGTTACACAAAGATATAAAAAATGTTAACTAGGTGCATTTCATAAAGAGGACAAGCTGAACAAATTTCTCCTTGATCTGTACAAAAAAGTCCAGTTTGTGGACTGTTAGAATTTTAGTGTTAGAAGGTATTATCTATTTTTCCAGGTGGTCACCCACCAGTAGAATCTAAACTTTTGTTCAGTTAATGAATCCAAAATAAAGTATCTCTGATTTTGTGGTGCAAGAAAACTCCTGAAATTTAAAATAGAATTGAACTGTCCAATTACTTTCATATTACAAATTCAGCAGAGTTAAACTGAGATACACAATGTTCTTGGAATGTAAAACCGACATTAAAAATATTCCATAAAAAGAATTTCCTTTCAATTGGATGGTATAAAAAGTTTGGTCCTGGTTGCTTTTTCCAGAGACAGGGGAATCTGTGGAAGGCAGGTGTATCTCTAAAAATCAAGACTAGATGTGAATGTGCAATATCAGACCTTTTAAATGTACATTGCATGCATTGCACAAGCATGAAAAATGGCGGAGTTTCATTGTGTGGTTGTACCTGCCATCTTAACTTTTTGAATCCCTCTACAGATGTCACTGCATGATAAATGGAAAAATATATGGCTAAACATCTTATTATACCTCTGGAATTATAATAAAGTAGAAGTGCTTATAGAGATTTTTTTTCTTTTATTCAACTCCCTGCCCTTTTAATAGTCCTAGTATAATAATATAGTTGTTAAAACAATGTTAAAGGTTTTATTAGTTAAGGGGGTTCAGCTAATAACCTGGACATACTTCTTTTTAGAACTGGATTGACGCAATACAAATTTATGCCCAAAGTCCTACTAAATTAAATACTGTAGTTATATATACAGTGCATGTAAAAATGGGATAAATGTTCAACTATAAATCACAGTTATACAGATAAATCTGCATTTTCCTCAGCAAGCTTGCTCCACAGTTGTATCAGGGCTGTGAGTTTGCTTATGCATTCTGTCAGATGTGATTTAGGCTTTCCTTCATTCTCTTCCTGAAGAAGCAGGGAAAGTGTGTGAATTTGGCTAAACCAGTGGTTCTCAACCTGTGGGTCGGGACCCCATTTGGGGTCGAACGACCATTTCACGGGGGTCGCCAAACAAGGCTGTCCGCCATTTTTTCTCCCTTTTCTTTGGCCACGCCCCTGGCACCCAGTGATGTATAAGTGGTTGGGGGTCACCACAACATGGGGAACTGTATTATGGGGTCGCGGCATTAGAAAGGTTGAGAACCACTGGGCTAAACTGTAAAATGTGCAAGAAATCCAACAGTTGTTTCTTATTATGGACTGAATCAGCAGCAAAGCATTTCTCAACCTTGGTAACATTAAGATGTGTGGACTTACAGCCAGCATGCTAGTTGGGGAATTCTGGAAGTTGAACTCCCCACATCTTAACATCATTGCCAACACTGAGAAACACTGAACTAGATAATACCCCTAGATAAAGCCTTAGTAGGTTGCTGGAATAAAAGAAAATTGCTCATAATTAAACAGAGTTCCATTGGAACTATTGGATAGTATTGTAATCCCTGCAGGTCATCCAGCACTGATTTGGTCCTTTGGAGAAGCTCTTTCTGGCTACAGAGACTTATAATGAGAAAGAAATGTAGATCCTTTTCTTATAAGAGGTGCCAAGTCATTAAAAAAAATCACAGAGTAAATGGATTATCAGTGTAAGAGAGAAGAAACCAATTAGGTGGAAGGCTAAGACAGAATGCAGGAATTCAACACACTGGGAAATATTAACTTAGCTTTTCCAGCTTAGAAGTAGACCCAAAGGAGCCAAAAGCAAAGTGAGGTCCTGAACCATGCTAATGAGGTTGAGTAGATGCTCACAGTTTATCCCAACAGAATTCAGAAAGTATGTGCATTAAGAACACCCTGCATGTGTCTGTAAACTAGTATCAGCTAAAGTTGTACTTGACTTACTTGTGGGTGCTCACATTCTCCTTTACTTCCACTGCAGTGATTGAGTTTCTTTCAACTGTCTTTAGTTTTTGTTCTTTTGATTTTTCCCCTCATCAATTGTTTTGGAGACAATGGAAAAAAGCGTGACTATATTAAGACTGCTGCTTCCTTCTTTTTTGGGGACTAGGAAACACAAGAACACAAACACACGAACTGTGAATACTCAGGGCTCTTTACAGTAACAAGAAATATCTGCTGACTATTACAACTAATGTGATCACTTGCCTGGTGCTAAAAAAACACAGAAGACAGCTGTTTATAGGAGCTTTTTGTGGAAGGTATTCAGAACATTGCCTCCAAAAATTGGCTTACAAGGCAAATTGCAGAAATTTCTGAATGAATGCTAGATGACAAATATCCATTGAGATTCTCAGTCATCCAAGTCATAGTCTTCAAAGAAAAACAAGAAAGTCCAGTTGCTTCGTGAAAAAGCATCCTTGGGATGCTAGATGGCAGCTAAGATATATACACTAATTCTTTGCTGCTATATAGATAGCCATTGAGTTACAACCATTCATTTAGCAACTGTTCAAAGTTACAATAACAATGAAAAACGTGACTTAGGACTGGTCCTTGCACTTACAACCATCACAGCATCCTCATGGTCATGTGATCAAAATTCAGTTGTTTGGCAACTGGAAAATCAATGTTTGCTTCCCAGCTGGCTTCTAACAAGCAAAGTCAATAGTACAAGCTGGATCTGCTTAACGACAGCGTGATTCACTTAACAACTGTGGCAAAAAAGACTCACTTAACAGTTGGATTGCTTAGCAATAGAAATTCTGGTCCCAATTGTGGTTGTAAATCAAAGATTGTATACAAATCCTTGAGCCAACAAAACCCCCCTAAACTTGTATAAACTTTGCTGTCCCATTGCTATTTCTTTTCTACCTCCAAACGTATCCTGATTTAAGGTGCATATTAAGGCATATTAAACAAAGACATTTGTTAACCTTTCTGGCTTTGCTGCATTCCTATGTGCATAGCATGGCATGGCATGGTCAGCTAGGATTTAGACCAGTCCAGCTTTCTGAGGTGGGTATTGACTCAAAGACACGGGGTTCCCATGTATGTAATGTCTGAACTCTTTCCTTACCCCAAGAAAAGTTATCCAGGAGTGGAAGAGGCAGGTCTGCTTTACATGATCCCAAAGTGGGTAATTGATCACTTCTCTATGATAATGGCTGAGAGGGTAGTGAAACCTGTCAGATTGTACTGCCTGCTAAAGGGGAAAAATAGTACTTTGAAACCAGAAGAACTATGACCTAAAGCTGCCTTAGATATGGCTGAGGATGAGATGGACAATTTTGTAACGACACAGAAGAAACGATATGGTCAGGACATGGCTGTGCATGGTCAAGTGCAAGTGGAGAAAAGCCCTTTGGGACATAATCAAAGAATCATAGGGCTGGAAGGGACCTTGGAGTTCTTCTAATCCAACCCATTGCCCAAGGTAGAAAAAGATGATGATGATGATGATGATGATAGGAAATGTTGTTCTAACCTTTGGTATGCTTGATTTTGTTCTAGCCTTGGAATGCTTTAATGGTTAAGAAACATAATTTCTTTTCCTCGATGCTCATTTTAAAGAGGATACAGGAAGTATGTGTGTCTATTTGGGGTGTTTAATATTCAATTCCTGCTGTCTGATTGATAAGATGAATAAATCACCCCTGCATGTACAGCTGGCTTGGTCACTCAACAGTGAGAAACTGGTGAAGCAGGCACAGCAGTGCCTGTATTTTCTGCATCACATGAGAAAAGCACATCTTTCTTCCCCTGTCCTGACCATTTTCTACAGAGGGACAATCGAGAGCATCCTGTCATACAGCATCACAGTCTGGTTTGGAGGCATCACTGCTTCAGACAGGAAGGCAGTGCAGGGAGTGGTGAGGATGGCCGAAAAGATCATTGGCAGTTCCCTCCCTCCCATCCAGGACATAGCACAGAAGCGTTGCTTGAGCAGGGTCCCTAAGATTATCTGGGACACTACACATCCTCTTCACAACCTGCTTTCCTTGTTACCTTCTGGGAGGAGGCTTTGTGGTATCCGTAGCAGAACATCCAGATTCAGCCATAGTTTCACTCCATACAGCATTAACTTTGTGAACTCTCAAGCTTCCTCTTTCCGTTATATATTCAAGATGGACAGTATTTAATATTTATTTGTTATGTATATGTAGAAGTGTGGGTCTATACATATGTTGTATATAATATGTTTAGGTGTGTGTCATGTATGTGTTTCACTTTGAGAGCGGGAAACTAAATTTGTGCCGTTGTGCCCACAGTAAAAAAATGACAGTAAAAGTTATCTTATCTTATTTTGTCTTGTCTTGTCTTGTCTTATCTTATCTTATCTTATCTTATCTTATCTTATCTTATCTTATCTTATCTTATCTTATCACAACTAAAGGCATTAATTGTTTATCTGTTTATGAAATAGGGCCTGTCTATCTGAGGGACTGTCTACCTATAGTGTCTGTCTCTCCTGTTCAATCCAACAAAATTGATATCTTTTGATTACTCATTGATTAAACATTCCTATTTGGTGGGACTCAGGAAATAGGCCAGTGGTGGCGAACCTATGGCACGGGTGCTAGAGGCAGCACTCAGTGCCCTCTCTGTGGGCATGCATGCCATTGCCCCACCCCCACTACCCCCAGTGGCCCCCTCCTCACCAGCAGCCCCCCCAGAGGAGAGTCGCCCCGAGCGCAGCCTGCACTGAGCAGCGCAGCCAAGGACATGGCAGCCAGGCAGCGGGGACAAGACTCTGACCTTGTGCCTCATTGTGTACAGATGATGCTGTGGGTGTGGCCACCATGACGCTGCTGGGCCGCCTGGGCGATCTGCTGTGGCAGGCTGTGGAGGTGGTGAGTGGCCCTACAGGCAGGAGAGGTGGGGCGGGGCAGGGGCAAGGCGGTTTTTGGGCACTCAGTCTATTAAAGGTTTGCCATCACTGAAATAGGCCTTTTCTATGGCAGCACTGGCGTTCTGATACCCCAGAGAGTTATTTACTTTTTTGATTCTATTATTGTTGTTAATTTGTGTTTAATATTGTATACTGCCCCAAACTGCTATGGGGTTGTGAGGCCTTACATACATGATTGATAGTACATAGACAGACAGAGGATCTAAGCCCTTTAGAGTTTAGTAAATTAAATGTGTGCACATCTAGTAACAACAGGAGGAAGTGGAAGAGAAATTACTGTTAGCTTTTCCTCTAACAGCATCACTGGAGAAATAAAGTGAGAGAACCAGAAAGCTTTTGAGAAGGAAGAACTCAGTATTTGTTTAAATGAGATTAGATGAAAGGGACAGTCATGAGACTGTTGCTAAGGAGAAAGAAGGGAATTGTGTGCAGTAAAATACTGCTTTGCAGATTTCCAGAGACCAACAGCCAATGTAGGGATCCTGCTGTCTTGTTCCATTTGCTTATTTTTTTATTTTCACTGCCTGTATTGACATTCCTGACATGCTAGGGAGTAACTAAGAGGTGCTTCTTTAGCAATCTAACTAGTGAGGGAAAAACGGGACTTCATCTCTTAAGCACAAATTTAAAAAAAAAACTGTTTTTAGACCCAGAGACATAACCTTCTCTAAAAATAATTAATCATTATTTCCTGCAAACAGTTGCTACATCACATGACTTTAATTCTGATTTTATTGTATTGAGCAATCCATGTGGCAGGTTATTATGTTTTGGCATTTTAAACTACAGATTTACAATTTGGTATGCTTACTTGCTGGACTGTTTATGATGTATGATGTTTATGAGTAGAAATATTTGTATGCTGTTTACTCATTCAAGTGTGGCTTAATCTGCAACCAGATTAAATAAACCGTGGCTTAGCCCATTTTGCCATGTATTAATTGAACTCAGAAGCCAGAATTCAGTGCCATCTTGCCAATGGTGACAAAATGCTGATGGAACTCCTTTGAACATTTTTTTGGGTAGTGACTTTTGAAGCCCACCATGTAGAAGGTCTTTCATTCCAGAAGATGCGCCCAATGTCTTCAACTTGCTTATGAATCAAAACTGGCAGGTGGGATCTCTTCTGAGCCACCCGCAAAGGGCCTTTCCAGTGATGAGGGCATTTTATACTCTTTAACGTAACTACTATGCTTTCTTTTTCTCACAATTGTTTGTTTTGTTATTTTTGTTTGTTTAATTGTTGATCTACTTTTATTTCTTATTTTTCTTCTTTTCGCAATCACCCTGGGAAGCAAGTGACTGATGAGATACATACAAAAAGTATACATTGTGTGAAAGAAACAGTCAATTTTCACTATTTAATACCATCCTAAGCCTGCTGTCATGGCATTGTCCCCATCTCTTTTCTTTTAGATCTCCCATTGTGATCAAAGCTGGAAACATACAACTAGCGTTTTCCAACTGGGCAATTTCCAGATGTTTTAGAGTTAGACTATAATTCCCAGTCCCACTCTGAGATATAACTAATTGAGGGAGCTGCTTGTGATAATCCATTTTCAAGGAGCAATGAAAGGGATGACCTTCCTGTTATCTTCATTATGATTCTAAAGTTTGTTTTGGTCATGTTTTGTTCTGACTGCTTAACAGAGAAATGTCTTTTCTTTTTTCTTTAGTTTTCCAATAGAAAATAATTTCTTAAAATAATTTGAGAATGTTTGCATTCGTGTTTGGCTGCATGTTCAGGTCACATGTGCAGCTTTTCTGGATAGATAGGTTTATTCAGTAAAACCGTGTACATAAAGAAATTGTGCTGATTGGCATAGAGGCAAAGTGTTTTTCTTAAAAAAAAAATAAAATAAAGGCACAAACATATATAATGGTATATATGTGGAAATATACATGACAAACTAATATCAAACTATATGTGTCTAAATCACATTATTTTTAAATAGATAATGCATTAATGCTATTAGCAAAGCCATTTTAGAATGGGAACTCTAAAGTACTTATTGATGGACATTGTTATTGTATTTTATTTGCATATCTCCCTCCCCATTAATTTCTGCTTGGTGAGAGTAAGTAGAGTAGATGCTAAGCTAAATGAATTTTATCGAGAAGGAATTTGTGTAATTTCTGGGCATAGAAACTGAACAAGTGAAAATGGAGTTCTTCTACAAACCTGGGAATTTTCGTGGTAATGGTGGCTGTGAAGATGAACTTGAAGTCATGGAAAAACTGCCTGTTACAAAACTGCTTGTGGTGAATTTCCTAAAAACAATCACAACCAAATCACTTACTATTTGCTTAGTGCTTTATATGCATTATCTAGTTATAACCCTTACAACAATCCTGTAAGTCAAAATTATTATCCCCTGTAAGTTATATTGCAGGGATGTACATAAGAGGAAAAATGGCTTGCCTAAGGTTAGTGAGTTCCTCAACATAGGTGAGATCTGAATTTCATGTATTTGTAACACAAATAAAAAACAAGTGAAAGTACCATCTTCAACGTTTGACCTCACGTGGTGGGCACCCCTATCTGAACCAAGGATAAGGCTCATATTTGGGCTGTAAAAATTGGGCAACATAGTAGGGAGAACTAGATGCTTTAGTTATTCCTTATTGTCTTCTAGAACGGGTGCACAACTATGGTAACTTTACAACCCGCGGACTTCAACTCCCGGAATTCCTGAGCTAGTCAGAAAGATCCAGGAAAGTTGTACATAGAAAGCTGCCTTATGTAAGCTTAGAGAATATATATCAGACTAATCTAGAATTTTTACTTTAAGCTGCAATTGCAGTAGTCCAGAACTGTACGGGCAATTCCAACATTAATTTCCAAAGATTATTTTAACCGGAACTTGTTTTTCTGTCAATCAGAAACTTGTCGTATCTCTGCATGGCTAGTTTCTGATTTAGCAAGCTTATTTGATTCTAAGTTGGCAGACAGTGTTTCAAATGAAATCCTGGCACTTTTGTACATGTTATATTGCAGCTTGTACAAAATGGGTTCAAAATTCAATTAAAATTCACGCAAGTAAAAATGTGAAAAGCGTTGCCTCCCTGAGCTGAGGTTGGAATTTTTCTGAACCTTTTGTGTAATGAGTAGCACTTTTCTTCTAGGTTTCAGGGAACAGTCTCCAATGAAAGTAATTTTTAGAGTTAAGGTAAGTAAAAAATAATTATGTTGCTGCCAATCCCCTCCATATATATTTTGGAATATTGTGCTGTTCTTGATTACTTATGATTGTAATTGAGCCCAGAATTATGATTGCAAATTATGTCAGTTGTTAAGTGAATCATCATGTGACCACATTTGATTCTAAGAACATTTTTTGTGGCAATCATTAAATAAACATCACAGTTAAGTAAACCCATTTTCTGCAGTGGGTATTTTTTTGCCAGAAACAAGAAGTAATTGCCAGTTTCTGGCAAAAATGTAATAAATTATGTTCATGTGGCCATAGGATGCTGCAAAACAGACGTAAATGCAGGCCATTTGCTGAGTGCCCAAAATGCAATCTCTTGATGGGGCTGAGAGTCGTGGTGGGGAAACAGTCATAAGAACTTCAAGTCCGGCTTGTAAGTTTGTGTAACTTCAAACAGCTAAGTCATAAATTGAGGACCACTTGTATTGATTTATCCCATGTTTTCCTTATAGCAAGCCACACTCCCACTTAAGAGCCCCTATATGCAATGGGCAGTTAAAACACATTTTAGATAACCTTACAGGTTTATTGTAAGTTTTCCAACAAGATAAGTTTGTGAAGTGCTGTACAAATGTTAAGTTTTTTTGTAGGACTTGCCACTGATTTTGAAATCCAGGTACTGCAAGTATTTCAATGAAAAATTCTCTTTCTCCCAGTGTTGCTTTTTAAATGCAAAGAACAGAAGCTTGCTAATAGATGTCACCAAATGGACAAAATTATGGCTATTGTACTGAACATAAAACAGAATGTGAACAACCTTACTGAATTTGTCAGAACTTTTTTATACCACACTAAACTAACTGACTCAAATTTAATTGCATTCAAGTTCAAGTATGTAATTTAATTTCATATAGGGCATTCACGCTAAACTGCAGTCTATTGATTATTGTTTTAGTACCAGGTTGGTTTATGGTTTTTTAAATGTTCTACAGGGCAATCTTAATATGTTTGCTTAATAATTCTGCTCTTCTTATTAAAGCTTAGTTTAATATTTTCTTAGTACAGTGTTCATCAGTCTGATCCCTTTCAGACTTACTGGAATTTCAATTCCCATGCTTCCCAGCCAGAGTGAAGCACATTAAATTAGTAAACTTTATCTTTAAGAACTCTAGTCTCTCATGTTTTTTTATTTATGTAAAAATACATTCCCTCCACCACAAAGAAGGCTAAAATGATATAGTTTCCTTCCCTCCTACTCTACAAAAAAACCCCTGCCTCTTTAGAGTAGCTTTATCAGTCATATTTGTGTGCAGAGATGTCTTCCAGCTGTCAACATCAGCCAGGACAAGAAAAAGTCCAACTTCCATTGAATGAGAAATGGCATTTTGTCCCTTTTTGTTATAGCAACCAAACAATCTTAAATTGATTTAAGGAAGGTGAGAAGAGACTGCTGATATCTAGAGTTACTAGGTCCATCTGAACTGGTCAATTTTATTTACCAAAGGTTTTTTTTTTGCAAATGTGTCCAAATGAGCTATCGGTGACCCAGCTGCAGAGTTGAAGGCAATTATAGCTTAGCTATAGCTTTTTGGTACTGTAATAAATAAAAACTGACTGCTTCCCATGAAGCTTTGCTTAGTAAATGGCAATGAACATGCTTTGTGTTGGTCTAAAGAAAAATACTGTGCTTGACAATATTGAGGGAAATAAAAGGGATGGCACCAAATATATGGATGAACAGGATCAGGGTGGTCACTGGAATGTCCTTGGAAAAGCTACAGATTATTGCTTGGAAGAATCAAGTTGATGGTCCATAGAACCTCCAGAGATCCAACGGGATTCAATGATATTTTACTTTCAGTACCGGTACTTTGGACAAGTCTACCAAGCCGAACTACGATACTCAGATTCCCATGCTTACCCATTTTTACAAAGCCAGTCAAATGAGATCAGCATGAAACCAATATTTCTAAGTAGTCATTATTTTCTTCCCATTTCATCATGCTCAGATTCTCAACACTTGCTGGAGGGGACACATGCCACAAGAAAAGAGAAACATGGGAACTTCAAAGTTTCAATAGAAGAACTCAGGATTGAACTATGGAGTCCTTGGTGCTCTCTGAGCTTATGCTGCACTGATAATGTTACCTACTTGGGTAATGAAATGTCTGCAAGCAAATAAGAATCTCAGAGAACACCAAGGACTCCACACTTACAAGTTTGTAGGATGAAACGATCCTGTTCAGGTAGAATGTCTTCTGTGATTTTATTCCCAACTCCAAGCAGACCCCCTGCATGCTTAGTCACTGAACATGTTCATATCTCAAGAGTCTGTTCAGTGATTTCCTCTCTTTTAAAAAGGTGTTTGCTTCCTCTTTTGTATACTACTGTGGTGCTTCTACAGCACAACCATAATCCAGAGGATATGTTTGATGTACAGAGTGATGATTTATATAGCACCCCTGAGTAGTCAGTGTTTGAGACATACTGTATTATCTTGTTATCCTTTCAACAACCCTGTAAGGTAGATTATTCTTTCTCTTCCCATGCTGAGTCTAAGTGGCTTTTCTAAAACCATCTGCATAGATCAAAGCATAGCTAGCAATTGAACCGAGAACCTTTGAAATCATTGTTTAACCAGCCCCTGGCACTTCTGTTCAAAATCCAACATTTTTTTCCACCAGTTAACAGTACAGTATTTGTGAAAAATGAATGAATCAGCTCTTCATCTACTTGAAGAGCTTTGAAATTTAATTGATGGTGAAGTTTTGAGTGGATTTTTAATTGACAAGTAACCAGTATGCATTTGCAGCCAGTGTGCTAAAGTAGCTAGAGATAATCTTTGGTGCCTCACATATGAGCCTAATGATTTCACATAACAAACCTAATCAGATGAAATGAAGATTAAACCTACTAAACCTAGTTATTATCCAACTAGGCTAGGGTATTTTTCGTGGCTTAGCATATTGTAGAAACCTAAATCATTTAGTTAATATTTAGTTCAATGTATCATGCAAAACTAAAAATTAACCAGAATTACTTCAGTAATGCAACTATGGTATAATAAATTTCTCCCTATCATTTGGCAATAAGATGAATGTTTTTATATGGAGAAAACTGGTTGCCTATATTGTTCTAATATCCAGATAGAAATTTTTGACTTTTTTCTCCTTCCTGGACTATCAAAGTACTATCAAAGAATAATAAGATCTTCTTCACTACAGGATTTGGCAGGATGATCCATATGACCAATTTACCAAATGGCTACAGATGCTTCCGTTCTTCTCCAGGCTTACCTGGAAGGTCTTGGAGTTTCACTCTTATAGGTCTCATAGCTCTCTGATTTCAGAAAATCCTTCATTTCACTATAGGTCATTTTAGGTTTCTCCTCAATTCTTTGCCGCTCATCCTCAGTATATTCTTCATCAGGGAAAACCAAGCTCTGAGGAGACATTTTTGTGGTCTCTGGCAAGTGCACTATTGATTTTTGCTCTGGTTCCTTCTGTTTTTGTTCTTGCACCTTTGAAAATGGAGAATCTTTAACATCTTCATGGAATCTTTCCTGGAATCCTTCTTGGGATGTTTTTGGAAATTCTTCTTGTAATCCTTTTGAGGATCCTTCTTGGAATGTTTTTTGGAATTCTTCTTGTAATCCTTTTGGGGATCCTTCTTGGAATGTTTTTGGGAAACCTTCTTGGAATCCTTTTGAGAATCCTTCTTGGAATTCCTTTGAGAATCCTTCTTGCAATCCTTCTGGAAACCCTTCTTGAAATCTTTCTGGGAACCCTTCTTGAAATCCTTTTGGGAATCCTTCTTTATATCCATTTTTGCATTCTTTCTGGAGTTCTTCCTGGAAATTGAGGAGTAAATAAGAAATAAAAAGATAGTTACATCTAGCAGAAAAGACTGGAGTGATCTATGCTGCTAGAGACTTGCTAACCTGCCTACACTAGTAAGCCTTAATGAAAGTATCCTAGCTGGAATTTCCTTGGGGGATTTACTGTAGTAATGAATTTCACATACTTAATAAAACCAAAATTGAATGTGAACATTATCAGAGGTGTGTTATAGTGCAAGTCCCCTCCCCCGAGGCACTTATAAGACTGTAGTTCCAGCAACTGGCATCAGCAAGTAGAAAGGGCCAATTTCTCAATATACCATATAATATGTGTTTCTGCCTTGCTACAAGGAAATTATAGACAATTATTTATTGTACTGCCCTATTTTCACTTAAGCAAGTGGAAAATGTCTGGAGCCTCTCCTTATATGAAAATCTTTTTAGCATTATTTATATAAAATTGGATATCTAATGAATTTAGACATGGAAATTAGTAAGCTTTGCACGTGCTGCTACTAAACAGAAATAATATTTTATCAAAAGATCCTGATTTTTTTTCTGATATTTTACTTGCAGTAATAATGCCAGAAATTCTGGAGACATTGTGGCCAACAAATTTGAAGAATCAATATGCATATCAACTCAGAAGAAAAGAGATTTAACAGTGACCAAACTGTTGCACAATATTCTTAATTTCATGTGCTAACAAAATAATGTCTAGGATTGTCCAATGCAAATTAGAGCCCTATATGGAAAAGGAGATGCCAGATGGTCAAGTTAGTTTTAGAAACCACAAGGAAAATGAAATATTATGGCTGATGCATGCTGGGTAATGGAGAAATTACCTAGCATTACCAAAGTGCAAAGAATACCAAAACAAAGTCAGTATATGTTTCATTGATTGTAGAAAAGTCTTTGATTGTGTTAGTAGCCATGTCAAGCTGTGGAATGTCCTTAGAAAAGTAGGAACCTCAGAACCTCATTCACCTTGTGTGAATTCTACACATATGTCATGAATCCTAGCATGGATCGATAAAGGAGAAACAGATTGACTCCAGCCTGGCAAAGGAGTAAGACAATATATTCTCCACTTATTCAACTTATATGCATTTATTTATTCAACTTATATGCAGAGTATATATTGAGGGAAGCTGGATTGGAAGAAGCATGGTTTTAAAACTGCGGGAAAAATAATTAACAAACCTCACTGGGCTGATAACTCTGTTCTGATAGCTGTAAATGCAGATCATCTGCAAACTTTAATAATGGAAATAAAAATGTACAGTGGAAAAATGTGAAAAGACCAGTCTAATATAACTGATCTTGAAGATATTGAAGTGGTGGATACTTTTGGCCTTTTATTTAAATAGTAAAGGAATCAGCAAGAAATCAAGAAATACACTTCAAAATAGCATTTGGTAGAGTAATTAAAAAAATCCAGAAAATATTGATGGTTTTGAACTTTAGTGTTGGAAAAGATTCCTGAGAATGCTATACAAATAAATGGATCATTGAACAAACCAACCCAGACTTCTCACTTGAGGCACAAATGACCAAACTCAAATATTATGTACCTCAGAGGCATTATGTGAAGATATGATGTAGCTCTTTGGAGAAGTCTATAATGCTTGGAAAAGTGGAAAGAAAGAAGAAGAGAATGACCAGCAACAAAATATTGGACTTATGTATAACAGTAATGGTATGCTTTTGTAGATCTGAAGAATCAGGTTGCAGATAGTGAAATATTCTTTAGGAGAAAATGTATATAGCAATGCAATAGCACTTAGGCTTATATACCACTTCACAGTGTTTTACAGCCCTCTGTAAGTGCTTTACAGGGTCAGCATAATGCCCACAATAATCTGTGTCCTCAATTTACTGACCTCAAAGGATGGAAGGCTGAGTCATCCTTGAGCCGATGAGAATCGAACTGCCGAACTGCTGGCAGCTGGCAGAAATAGCCTGCCGTACTGCATTCTAACCACTGCGCCACCATAGCTCATTTATGTGGTCGCTAGAAGTTGACTCTAGCTTGATGGCATAACCCTACCCCCTACTATAATAGTACCCAAAAATGGAAGATGGTTTTGCTCCCATATATTATCCATATATGGGTGCCTCATTTGAAAGTAAATAATTGTTGGAATTCTTGTGTTGTAACTTTCAACTCTTTTCTAATAAATATTATCAATCAGAATGCTGTAACATTTCCTTGGCTCAACTGTGCCCTGTCTAGATTGATAGGAAGAAAGAGTGATGATCAACTGTACATTATTCTTTCTACAGAAAGGGCTTTCTCCTATCCCACACCCATGCAATACTGTATTGCAACCTCATTGGAGCTATGATAAAATTGCTTTAATTTTTAAACAGATGTTGGAACATTTTTAAGCCAGCCTTCTAAATTATTTTAATGGTTTTATTGTTCCATTTTTAATTCCTAATTTTCTCATTTTAAAATGTAATTTAAAAGGTTTGAGTACTTTTAAATGGAGTGGGTTTTAATGAAGAAGTAGTCTATTTTTTTAAAGTTAAATAAATTTTAAATAGTTTGTTGAGTGGCTCTCCAATAATTCAGCCAGATAGAGATAATTAGAGCCGAGGTGGTGCAGCAGTTAGAGTACAGTACTGCAGGCCACTTTAGCTGGTGTTCAGCAGGTCAGCGGTTCAAATCTCACTGGCTCAAGGTTGACTCAGCCTTCCATCCTTCCGAGGTAGGTAAAATGAGGACCCAGATTGTTGGGGGCAATGTAAATATATATATACATTGCTTACTGGTGTACACCGCTTAGAGAGTGCTTGCACTTAAAGCGGTATATAAGTCTCATAAAATAAATAAATAAATAAATAATTTAAGATTCCTCTGCTGGAAATATTGTGAACTAAATCCAGGCTTTTGTTTAATTCTTGACTCAATTGTAAGACATTGTTCTCAGAACTCCATTGCCAATAAAAGAAAATATTTTTAGCTCATGGTTTTAACTGTGGGGTCGTTGGTACTCTCTGAGCTTGTCTTTCTTTCTTTCTTTCTTTCTTTCTTTCTTTCTTTCTTTCTTTCTTTCTTTCTTTCTTTCTTTCTTTTTGCAGATGTTTCATTACCAGACTAGGGAACATCATCAGACTAGCCCTGATTTGGTAATGAAATGTCTGCAAGAAAACAACCAAGCTGAGAGAGCACAAAAGATCCCATATTTTCATTGTCTTATGACTAAGAGGCCAAATTATGTAAATCCATGTTTGTTCTTACAATTTCCTCCTCACTTGGGATGATTTGAATGCTTAGGCTATCAGTTACTGAGCGGGAGATGGGCTGAGGTGTGAGATAGCATGATGGAGGATGATGAAGAAGATAGACTAGTGATAACCAGCGTTCAAACAGAGCCTCCTCTTCCTTAGTAGATGCTTGAAACTGTAGGTAATAAGAGCGCCCATTGATCAGCTGGATTTTGATGAGTTGCTTCTTGGGATTGTAAATGGAGATCCGCACAAACTTCAAAGGGAGGAGTCTGAAATTATACCAAAGCAATAAATATATAGAACTTTCAGTCTAAGCAGTCAAAGAACTGTAGATGTATTTGCCCTTCATTTAAAATATTGGTCCAAACAAATGAACAAACAAAATGTGTCAAATTCATCTATGCTATGCCATTAACAACCATATTGTCTGAATGAGCAACATTGTATACAGTTCATGTATATTTCAAAAGTGAAATTTTATAATTTTTTAATGTTGGCGGATGAAAGTGGCTGGAAATTGCCATTGATTGAAAATGTGGTGCCCTAATTACTAACTAATGCAAGATACATGGGTTACACGATGCCCTTACTGAAAGCCCTACCCACTGAACAGAATTTAAAGGGCTGGGATTAGGGATTAGTGCCCACATATCTGTAGGACCACCTTTCCTGCAGATCATTTTGATCAGCAGGACAGGCTCTTTAAAAATGCCACCCCCACTATATAGCTTCTCCTTTGTGTAAAGGAATTACAACAATCTGATACCCTTAATAGTCATAAAACATCCTTTTTGCAATAACATTTAATAATTACTTTGGTGGTGGTAAAGCTAGGTATAATATCTAATTATGCATATTTGGATCAATATCTGGGGCATTTTATGTTATATTACAACTCCTATCTTCTCCCAATCAGCACGTGATTGGCTATAATTCAACAGATCTAGGAGGGTCCAGTCTACAGAAGACTACACAAATGGTAACCTCTTTATTTCCTTTTCTCTCTAGCACTATAATCCTTTACTTTTTACCTACTATTAGCAAATACAGACTTTGAATAGGTGTAGTTGGATGACTTCTGTAACTTACCTGGTGAGTGTCAGTTCCTCTGCTTGTGAGTCTGGTGAGGAGACCTGTTCAGCAACAGGACGAGCAATAAACATCAGGTTGGGCAATGGCAACTTGCTGTTGGTGGAGGCAATACCTATTATGGCTTCATTGGAGGAGTTGTGGATGAAGACATGCCTGCCTCTTCTTGTGACCTGGGATGAGGGATACCAAAAGCAAATATTAAGGAAAGTTTTTTTCAAGGAAGAACATAAACAAAGGATATATGTGTGAGAAGGGATAATTAACAGCACCACTGAAGTAATTTGTTTTTTTTTTTTTTGTAAAAAATTTTTATTTTCAATTTTACAATACATTATATTCATAAAAATACTTCAGATAAAAAATAAAACAAATTGATACACACAACTTTCGGTATTGCTCACCCATTTCCCCCCAAACCGCATCCACCCTCTAACCAACTTGCCTCTTTCCCTCTTCTTCCTCTTACTCTCCCCCTCTACTCCTTCTCCTCAACCTTCCTACTTACTTCTCCTCTTCTTCTATCTTCTTGCTCCGGATGCGGTCCAGGGGAAATGCCGGAGCAATTCCTCTCTCCAAATTAAAACATCAATATTATATACAATAAAACTATTTCTACTTATCTGAGCTACTTAAACTTCAACCCATCCTCCCCCCCCTCCTCCCCCGACTTCCCAGAGCCAAATACAGGGTTATACAAACATATTAAACATAATCTATTTAAGTTTACTAATTATACAATAACCAAAATCATACTAACCCTCATACTAACTCTCTTCAAACTTTAACATCATAAGTTTATAAACAAATTCATTACTCATAAAATAAGTGAAACTTTGTAGTTCCATACTTCTTCTGAACATATTCTATCCATCTTCTCCATACATTAAAATATCTCTCTTGTGAATGGTCCTTTAAATAAGCAGAAATTTTAGCCATTTCTGCTAAATTAGAAACCTTAAATACCCATTCTTCTAAAGAAGACAGAGTATCCTTCTTCCAATATTGACCCACCAATAATCTTGCTGCTATTATTAAATTCAACATTAAGATAGTTTCTTTAGCATCAAAATCCACAAAAATACCCAAAAGATTTTTATAAAAATACCCAAAAGATTTGTTCTTCACTACTGCTATTGAGATGTATGCTATATATCATTTCTTTTGCATCATCAAAAGATCTAAAGAGATGGGTTTATTCATCTTGCTAAACTTTAAAGCTGGGTTTATAACATATAATTGCTAAGTGCTCCTAATGTGCTGTACCCAACAATTTAAACACAACTTAAATGTAATGGCCTGTTTTGTACAATATGTTAAGTCAGTGGCTGAAGCCCTACAATGCACTGAAGCATGGACTATCATAATTCTACTTTAATCTACTGCAGAAAATTACATGGACCCAACCAACATTTTATCTGATTTATGGTGGTACATTTTTTTTTCATACGACATCCTCTGAGTGGGAGGATGTCATTGTGAAGTAAGGTAACTATTCTTGCCAATGCAAATTTTTTATGTAGATATTATTAAATTACATTTAGCTACTGGTTACTACAGTATATTTGCCATCTTGACTTGTCTTTAGCAATAATTCAAAACTCTTTCAAGGTCTTTTCAGTAATCCCTTTGATCAAGCTAACCACATTCATTATCTTCACTTCCTTTTACTTCTGTAATATCTTGCTAAATATAGTCATTTGATTTAGTCCATTATCAGCTTGCATTACATGGACAAAACAAGTGAGTTTCTGCTTGCTGGTCTTTGCTTCAGAGGAGCAGCAAGCCTTTATTTGTTATACAATTGATTAGTTGGTTATTCAAGTCTGCAGTAGTGATAGTAATTATCTCCAAATCCATAATATGGACCATCCTCTTTTGCTTTTGTCAGTGTCCAATATTCACAGCCATGTTACTACAGAGAGACTATTGCTTTCACTACAATGGCCTTTCTAAAGACTCACTTATTTTCCAGTTCTGAAGTATTTTGCTTCTCCAAATTTAGTTTTTACGTAAGTTCTTGTTCATTATAAAGATTCCTCAGAAAAAGAATCTGTACTGCTATATTCATTAGCCTGTTTTACATGCAAAAGCTGTGCTATACTAAATGAGCAAATATAAATCTACTTTTCATATTATTTTGGTCTTTCCATTATTTAGCTTGTATTACTTATCTGATTTCATATTCCTCAGTAACTTCAGGAACATGCCTGTTTATTTGGTATTTCTTTCTCCCTGTGTAGCTCCACTCTTCCTTGTAAGACCTGAAGCAAAACTCTGATTGCAAGAGGAACTAGTGCAGTCACTTGTTAACCTGTGCATTCTTTTTCCTCTCCTTTCTTGTCTATACATAGGTATGTATATACATTTTCCCAATTTCAACGTCATGCAACCTTATTTTGTATTCACGTATCATTGCTAGCTCTTTAACCAACCCTTTTAGCATAATATGTTTTCATCTGCTGAGAATGAAAATACATGTGGTTAGGCAGAAAAAAAAACCTAAAACAATTTAGCTAGTGTTGAGAAGAATTAACCACATTCTTCAGCAGTAATTCGATTCTCTATATATTTAGCAGAAACAAAAACCTTTCTCATGAAAGAGAAATAAAGGGAAAAAACAAGATTGGGACTTCATTGAAGTGAAGAGGTTAACTCTCTAAACATTGATTTGTCTGTATTACTGTAGGGGGTCTACAAATGCTTCATCTAGCACAGTGTTTCTCAACGTTGACAACTTGAAGAGGTATGGATTTCAACTCCCATAATTCCTCAGCCTGCTTTGATCTAACATTGATCTAACATTTCTCATACAGGATCAGGTTTCAGAGCTAGGAGGAGAAATAAAGCTTATGTTCCCCCTAACATGTAACTGAAGTGTCAGAATCTAAATCAAAGCAAAAATTAGTTCTGCATTGATTATGGTGATACCACAGCAGAGTGAGAAAATAAATCTTAGCTGTTCTCAAACTGGTCTGGAATCCTTCTGTGGTAATGCTATTGTTTTCACCCATCAAACCTTATGCTTTTCATGGGAAAGGGAATCAACTATTGTGCAAAGAATGCTAATATGAGGATGTAGGGAGCACTTGGCTATTGTAGGAAAGAAGAATTTTCAGGATCTGGGAAATGAGCAAGGTAGAAGTTCCCATCAGTATGAAACAGCCTGTTCATTTTTGAAGCATTTCTTACTAGCTTACTAAGGTACTAGCTTTCCATCTCAAGCCACATGAAAACCATTGAAAGTTGTGAGTATACAAAGACCTTTCCTAATTTCAGATCACTATACAGGTAGTTCTTGACTTACAACAGTTACAGTTCATTTAGTGACCGTTCAAAGTTACAACAGCACTGAAAAAGTGACTTATGACCGTTTTTCATATTTACAACCATTGCATGGTCAAAATTCAGCCACTTGGCAACTGACTCATATTTATGACGGTTGCAGTGTCCTGGGGTCATGTAATCACCTTTTGCAATCTTCTGATAAGCCAAGTCAATGGGGAAGCCAGATTCACTTAACAATTGTGTTACTAACTTAACAACTGCAGTATCTCACTTAACAGCTGTGGCAAGAAAGGTCACAAAACGGGGCAAAACTAATTTAACAAATGTCTCAGCAACAGAAATTTTGGGCTCAATTTTGATTGTAAGTCGAGGATTATCTATAATCTTAGTATGTGAAAAAAAATAAATCTAATTTGTTACTTCAATGCCTGGTGCAATGACTATTAAGAGGTTGGGTTTAGCTTCAAGTATGTCTATAATCTTAGCAAGATTTTTAGGAAGATAAAAAGGAGATTCATATACATTGCCTGAGTTCATTTGAATTATAAACATACTGTAGAATCCAAGTAATTAACCGTCTATTAAACCAAGTCAAGAATATTTCTGCCAATGTATCCACTGTTCACATTCACCTAGCATGTATTTATATTTCGTTAATGTCCTTCCAACTGGCAGTTTGCCATGAAGGACCTGTACATTTTGGAGGACTCTTCTTCCCCGTTATGCTCTCTCTTAGGTGTATTATACTTCAGGTCCTACCATCAACTAGTCACATTGGATGGGGATTGTGGAAATTGCAATAGAACACATCCAGAGGATTCCAGAGTGGGAGAAGTTGGCTAGTTCTTACCTGGACAAAACTGCTTTCAAACATGGCAATAGACTGAAATGAAGGGTATTCTCCTTTTTCAAGATATTTCTGCAGAACTGCCTTGCCAGTGGCTTGGCCCACAGAAGTAAAATCCATACTTTGCTCAGTCCTGGGAAAGAGATCCACAACCAGACTATCTGCAAATGAGACATAAGGGCCTTAAAGAATCATCTTATGTACAAATATTCTACTTATCAAACTAAACACAGAGGTCTTGACAATACTCTTTTTATTTTTAATATACAACAAGCATAGTACTAGTATATGATGTTAAGAGAGTATTTGACCAGACTACTCTATAGTTCTGAAGAATCTGATTATCTTTAATAACATTTATAAAAGAATGGCATGTATTATAAAACCTTTTGGGTCAGTGTATCTTTTAAAACACTCTATTTTACTTAATTTTTCCATAGATAGAATTTACCATGTTTTATTTTAGCATATGCCAAATGATATGAGTGGTTGGGGAATCTGATAATAATCATGAATTATCCAGAAGCCATCTGCAAACATAATCATTACCATCTTGGATGTGTATGCTGGCCTAAATCTAGACTGAAAGATAATCTACTTTATCTGTAGCTGAGTACCTGCAATCTTTTCAAGAAAGGGAAGATTGGAGACTGGACAAGCTGCCTAAAATAGTTGAATCCGAAGATGGCTTCTTGAGAAAGGGCACACCATTGACTCCTTCAAGATAGGCCTCAATTATCTGGATGAGCACAGAAATCTTATCTACACTCTTAATGGCAATATTGGTGTTGTGCCTTGTTAATAGTCAGGCTGGTTTCTAAAAAGCCTTTCAGTTGCTACCAAAGAACTACAATTCCCAATTATTCTCAAATGGAGATCAAAAACAGTTAAACTGCCTTCTTAACATAGATGATCCCAGAAGTTATTTATGAGACTGTTTTCCTCTGTTACTGCTTGTTGGACTAGATCTGATAAGGTGAGTATGCTCCGAGTCCCATTTATTAAGCAGTGTCATCTAGTAGAAACTTTTTGTGTAGCAGCACCTGCCTTTTGGAAAAACCATATCCCCCAAAATTTGTTTAGCCATATCCCAGCTGGTGTTCCATAAATTCTCAAAAACCTGGATTTTTTTTCCAGGCATGGGATCTGTAATATGGTTGATCCTATCACTCTAGTTTCTTTGACGTGTCTGTAATTATGTGACTCAGGTTTGATTGCCCTCTGTGCCATTGTGCTATCATTGTGTTATTGTTCTTTATAATTATTATGTAATATTTTATTGCTTTTAATCCTATATTCAATATCTTGAGGCACTACTGTGAGATGAGTGGCTATAGAGATTAATTCAATAAATAAGTTAAAGAAACTGCATTTATAGTTATGTCACACTATGCAAAGATTTTCATACTGAGCATTTTGTGCTGCATTATTTATAATGACTCCATAGTTGGTTATCATGGCTTCAAAATCTAAGGGATTGGTTTGGACAAAACTCAGCAGCACTTTTTTGTGCGGCTGCTGACAAAAACAGGATCACCAACATGATCTCCAATATCCGATAATGGATATGGCACAAGAAGAACAAGAAGATAGCTGGTTATTAGAAACCCTATTTTTGTCTCTTGGAGATAACTGGCTATCATTGACTGTCTTGAATAGCTAGTGAGATCTCAAAATATATGTTATCCTATTTGATCTGGTCTGAATATTGAGATTTTCACTTCAAGCTTTTCTCTACTTTTAGGATTCTCTACAACAGGTTGCCAATTCCATTATCTTTCAGTGCTTAGACCTTCATGAGTCAATAAATTGCATGTTTTAGACCTATCCTCAACATTATTCTAGCTACAGTTAATTAAATGAACTATACTTATCTGGAATTATACAAGTTGCTAAGCCGTAAGTCAAGATTTACAGAGGCCCAGTTTCTACAATATGCTAAGCCAAAATCCAGCAAATTGCATTTTGGCTTAGTGAAATATGAGATCCCATCCTTAGATATGGACTGATGGTTTTATCTGGTTTATAAACACATTTTATTGCTCTTTTTATTTTCATTCTGTTCATCTACACTGGTTTTTTAAAATATGTAAAGATAAAAATATGAGAGTACATCTACATCTGAGTTTCATGAATGCTAAAACTAGTTAGGTCCATCAATAACATAGTTTATTGGATTAGCTCCATGATTAGACAAAGTGAGATGATCAGTCTGGCCAACAGATGTAAAATAATTTGAAGGGTTGGCAAACAGTGAGCTATAAAATTTGATCTTATTGTTTTAATACTGCCAGGGCTAGAGGGATTTTTCCATTCAATGGGCCAAAATAACATATCTGGTTTTGGGTACACAGCAGTTCGCTTCTAAATTGGGGCGATAGGTGATTATGAGAAAGAAATTTGCTTGTACTGTTACCAATTGTTACTGCATTTTAATAGACATATTCCCTAAAAGAAAGTATTGCAGCTTAAGTTCTCTGGATTGATAGAGCATTCTTTTGACTCACCTGAAAGACCTTGATGATAATGACCCTTTTTTTTCTTGTGAACTTCTCTGTCTGGTACAGATTCACTGCTGGAACTCTTCTGAAAGCTCAGGACAAAATTTTGTCTTTTGATCCATGTCAAAAATCCCATCTGTCCAATAGATAAGTCAGATCAGACCTAGTTAGCTTGATTGTTTAAGCTAACTAGACTTCTTTATCCTTGTCGAAGTTAATCAGAGTAAATGAAAATCGGAGTGATGGAATGAATATGAAGTTTAATTGTGATGGCTTTCAAGCCCTACCTTACTTGATCTACCATAGCAGATCTCTGTTTTTCTCTGCCAAACATTATAGGTTATATTATGAAACTAAAGCAGCTGTCCTATATATGTGTACTAGAATCCCAATGAGCTCAGTGTAGCAAGTAAATGCCTTTGCCTTCGAATCATAAAATCACAGAGTTGGAAGGGACCATAGAGGTCATTTAATTCAACTACCTGTTCAGGAACCATTAGACCATCCAGCTTTGTTTGGAGTCCCATCATGATAGAAAATCCACCATGTGATATGGCAACCTGTTTCACTGGCAGATGGCATAGGAGGATCCTTTTCATGTTTGAATCTGCTTTATTGTATAGAATCCATTAGACCTTCTGCTTCTGTCCTCTGGGACATTCAGAATAAGTTCACTTCCTCTTTGGGGAGACAGCTTTTTAGGTTTTTAAGCTTACCATCCCATTTCCCCTCAGTTATCTTTTTATACACTAAATGTACCCAGATCCTTTAAGCCAGCAGTTCTCAACCTATGGGTCGCGACCCCATTTGGGGTCGATTGACCATTTTTTTGGGGTCGCCAAAGGTGGTGATCTGCCATTTTTCGCGGCGCCGTGCACGCACGCCGCGCACGGGGGTGCCACCGCGCACGCGTGCTGCGCATGGGGGCAGCCCCGTGCACGCGCGTCGTGCATGGGGCGGCGCCGTGCACGCGCGCCGCACATGGGGGGTCATCGCGCATGCGCGCCGCACATGGGGGCACCGCACATGCGTGCTGCGCATTGGGGCCCCGCCCCCATGTGCGTGGCGCCGCGCATGTGCAGAACGTTTGTGTGACGGGGGTCGCCGTCACACAAACGTTGAGAAGCACTGCTTTAAGCATTTCTCATAGGACTTGGTTTCCAGAACCTTCACTATCTTGGTAGTCCTTCTCTGAATTTGTTCCACATTATTGCTGTCCTTTTTGAACTATGTTGCTCAATACCGGACACTGTATTCTAAACGGAGTCTGACCAGAGCAGAGTAGAATGGAACAGGAACATCCCACAATCTGGATTCCATATTCCTATTAACGCAGCTCAAAATAACATTTGTCTTTTCAGAAGTTGCATCACACTGTCCTATGTTTGTATCTTACATTTTCTCTATCCAGTTATAGAACTTCAAATTTCAGCTTACTGCTCAAACATGTCTAGAAATTTTTGAATATTCCTGTATTTGCCATCCTGTCTGTTTTATTTTAAAATTAGTGAAGTTATTATAAAAATAGGAATTGTAGTCTTTTTACTGACCTTTTATCTCTGGGTTTAATTGCACCATGACATGCAGCAATGTGGCAGGTGAAGGATTTTTTTCTCCTTTTCCTGGCCCAGAGATATGGAAAGAGAAGCAATGATAGAATTATTTTAGTCCAATAGGCTTGGCACAGGGACCTATTTGGCCAGCAGAAACTGTGGGAACCCTCTTTGATAAGCAGCTATTCAAAAGAGACATGATTTTCTCTCAAGAATGGCTGAAAAACAACCATTTTGGTTTTTTTTTTAAAGGTTCCAGTTGGGATGAGATAAAATGGCCAGACCATCCACCAGGTCATTGCCTAGAGCGGTGTTTCTCAACCATGGTAATGTGTGGACTTCATCTCCAGAATTCTGGGTTTACAGAGGAGACATAGCTATAAATTCATGTAATATTAATATGAATTCAAAATGCAAAGTTCTGGGAACTGAAGTCTACATATCTTAAAACAAAGTTGAGAAACACTAGCCTATATATTCAAACAGGGCTTTTTTTCTCATAGAATGTCCAGAATGGAGTTCCAGCACCTTTTTTGGATGGAACCTTGTAGGGTAGGCAAGGTGGGTTGTATGATATGTGTGAGTTCCGGCACCTTTTTTTTTTTTTTAAAGAAAAACACTGTATTCAAACGTATTTTTTTCAACAGGACTTCACCTTGATCAGTGTTAACTTCCTCAATGTAATCATCGCCAAATGTAATTGGCTACCTTTCCCCTCCTAGTACAGCTCACATAGCAGGAAAACTTCTAGTTGGAATGGATGAGCAACCTTTTCATGTCTGCGTAGTACTAGAGTTAACTAATTTTGGATAGCCAGAAGCTACAATGTAAATTACTGTAGTGGTGCAAAGTAGGTAGATGGCTCAATATTTTCTTGAGAATTTTTCTTAAAAGGGAAGGGCATTCACACACTAAAAAGGGGAGGGCTTTGATCACATGGTTATGGCCGACATCTGGGTATTTTGAACCACGGATGGGGGATGGATTCTGAGTTTGTTTATTAAAAATATATTAAGCCTTATTTTGGGGTAGAGCTGCACATATTCTGGGGATTGAGATTGCACATACTGTGGCTGGGGAATGCTGATACATATTTACATTTAAGATAGATTCCAACATTTTGATCTACTCACATCAGGGATTAGATCCATTCACATAACTTAGAGAAGTGAGGCAGATTTTATTTTTTGTGGTCTCCACAATGAAAAAAATCTCCAGTTGAGAAGGCCATAAACACTTTTCTGGATATGCCCAACAGTCCTATTTGTTGAGGATAAATTGGTACTCTTATTTGATTGAATCTCACAGTAGTAGCGCTAATTATAGGATAGGAAAAATAGAATTTTCCAGAAACATCTAGCTGAAAACCACATGTTAGACCAAATAGCCTTTGGGTTTGATTAAGATACAAGAATATTTTTTTATAAAAAAGTAACCAGCATGCCTGGAGGTTGAAGTCCTTTCTTGGAATTAGCACAATGCCGGGTGAGTGGGCTTCTTTTCAGCTCAACTGTTGTAGATGAGATGTTGTTATTGAGGTATTTTATAGTCTGTTCTTCTTATAAATGCAGGCAAGCTGGTAATGTAAAACAACTCTGAGGTGGCAGGACATTGCCCCCAGCCTGTTCTGATCCTGTCTTATGATGTCATTTCCCTGCTTACATCACTGCATTCTAATCTATACTTGTTAGCATCTTATTCTGAAGCAGTTCAAATTTTTTTCATCATTTTTATTGTTCCCAGAATGTTGGATAGTCTTTCATCAGTGTACCAGCTAATCATTATAAAATTACAATAGCCCCTATTTTTTTTTGAAGATCCTATACACACATACACACACACACACACACACACACACACACACGTACATAAGAGTACTAATTGTAACATATAGCACAAGCAACTTTGCAGAGGAATGCAACCAATGTTTTATGCATTCTGCTAAACTCATTGAGTAATGCATCTGCATTTGCCCATTGGCTTTATTATATGTTAATAAAAGACTGTTTGAAAATAGACAATGATATGATGTCCTTGACTTGGTGCACTGAACACCTGTCCTTCTGTAGTTCACTTTGTATGTACTGTGGGCCAGGATATGGTAAGCTGAAGGCAATTCTGAACAAAAGAGTTCAGAGTTCCTGACTGTCCTTTCTATTTAAAAGCAAGATGCTAATCCTCATGATTCTATCCGATTCAAAAAGTATTGGCAAATGACACCAGAGCTCAAAAATTGTTGCTTCTATAGGATGCACAGTGTTTAAGAAACTAAAAAGATGCTCTTGGTCCATTGTGTTAATGAGAAACTTGGACTTTCTGCACACAAAGGAATGCTCAGCCACTGAGATCAGAATAAAACGGCCCTTGGGTGGTGCTGATAGAATGGCTGCATTTTTAAAGATATTCCTTTCCACATGCCTTTGCTAGGCTGTGGAGATATCTGGAGTTTCCTACAATCCAGCCATCTTCTTTTTGGGTCTCATTATCAGACCTTTCACTTCACAGCTCAGCCCAGACTGATGCTGCTAATTGCAGGCAAATTCTCCCTACCTTAAGGAACAGCAGGACTCCCATCCTTGGGAGATCTTTTACATGGGTTGAATTTTTGTGCTTCTGCAATGAAGATTAATTATTCTTTGAACTACTTTCTGCATAAAATCTGTGTGAGACAGACATTTCTACAGTTAGGTCCTCTGACCCAGGTTGAATTTTAAATATATTTTATAATGAAAAATGTCTATCTAACTTCAGTTAGACTGCTTCAAGAAGAATGAATGTAGCTGTTAGAGACAATTCTGGGATTAATCTGTGAGAGCAAAGTGTTGGCAAATAATGTTATTACAGGAGGGTGAAAAAATTGCACTGTGTTATCAATACAGGTACTTATTGTTTAACTGTTTACATTACTAATAAAACTGCATTTGTCATTTTTTTCTGGCAATAGTTTAATCTGTCTACATATTTATTCAGATGAAGAGATTTTGACAACTTTGTTCTATACTCCAGTAGCCAAGTCCGTTGTCCAAACAAGAGCTAAGTTCCTTCCTTCCTTCCTTCCTTCCTTCCTTCCTTCCTTCCTTCCTTCCTTCCTTCCTTCCTTCCTTCCTTCCTTCCTTCCTTCCTTATTTCCTTCTTTCTTTGTTGAGAAGTGAAGCAGATTAAATTTCATGGGAGGAGGACGTATGTACGTTAACCTTTTAGTGTTTTGGAATACTTCAAATTCTTATATTTGGATTGGCCATTCATGACACAAAGGATGCAGTCACACAAGCTTGGTGAATGTGAGGATTAATGAGGTTTACTATGGCAACACAGCTTGTTTCTTATTGGTTAGTTTAGATTTCAATGTATTGCATGCATTTAAAAAGGTTTAATTAAATAGCCAGATTAAGCATATTGTGGAAGGCTGTCTGGGTTTGGATTGAATCGATTGAAAATTAAATAGTGCACCAATTAATACAGTGCACTAGTGCTAAGTCTCATAAAGTTTTTAATTCTCTCTTGTGAGAGGAAATAGAGTTTTATACTGCTTGAAGCTGATTGTATCCACTGAATAACTTGCTAAAGCTATCCAATTTGGATTCTGTTGTTGTTGTGTTTTTTTTTTAAAAAAAATCTGATGTCTCATCTGACATTATCTCCAATTTCATTAATATAAAAAGTAAATTTCCATCACCCACCTTCTCGGTTATCTCTTTCCCAGAAAACTTTGTTTTATTAAGAATGGAGGTAAATTTAACTCCAAGTAGATTTCATATTTTCAGAAATGAAAGAAGAGTCATGGTTCCTTGGCTTTTTTTATCTTTACAGGTTTAAGTACTCTCCAGGGCAGTGATGGCGAACCTTTTAGAGACCGAGTGCCCAAACTGCAACCCAAAACCCACTTATGCATTGTCGGGTGCCGGGTGGGTGTGGCCCATTGGGTGAGTGTGGTCCATTGGGTGGGCGTGGCTGCGGTAGTAACAGCAGACTGGGTAGGACTAAAAAGTTCAATCAATTCCAACTTTGCAAGATCTTTTTTTTCCCACGAGAAGTTGAAATTGACTGATTGATTGAACCTTTTTTTTGTACACGGTGGCGGAGGCCTAAAGCGAAAAGGTTTTATAAAACCCAGCTGAAGCCCTAAGACTGGGGTGACGGTGCGCGTGCCCACAGAGAGGGCTCTGAATGCCGCCTCTGGCACCCATGCCATAGGTTCGCCACCACGGCTCTAGGGAAAGATTCAACCAAGGCTTATTTTGGCGGTATTTATTTAGTGATCCTGAAGGAAACTAGACATCACATGCATTAACAGAACATGGATAATATTCTTATAATATTGGAGAGGGAAGATTTGAATGATCATTCATCTGAACCTATACAGCTATGGGACTTGTCCACTGCCCCTTCTCCCCCATGTTCCTTAATTGAATAAACAGCTCCTATTAAGAACAGGAACGGGGGTATTTGCAGAGGGGTCAAAAAAGTCAAGTGAAAGCCTGCAACCACACATCTGAACCTCTGCAACACATTTTAAAAAGGGATGAGGTTTTCACTACATGATCGAAGACACCATCTGACTTTTTGATACCTGCTCCTTCTGCCTCCAACTGATCCTGATCTGGAGTACAGTAAAGGATCCAAAAAACTGTGTTTATCAGTGCTCTTCAACTCTTTCATTCAGTGCCATACCCAAAGAAATGTGATGTACCCTGTGTGTAAACAAGCAAAAGCAAATATAAGGAGGAAAACAATAGGAAAAAGGTGAGGGATGGGATTGTACACCTTCTGAGGGAGAACTGATAAAACCCTGTACATTCTGTTGTGGATGAAACCAAAATATCATAGCATAAAGTAGAGCATAACGTCAATGTCTCTCACAAGTGGACAAATAAATGAAAACCTGGTAGTTTGAATATCAGCTACTCATTTTTTTCTTCTGCCCTAATTTCTAGATTGTTGGGTTTGTTGATTCCTTGCTAAAAGGTAATAATATTGCTCTATCTACCATCAAACTTCTCTCCCTTGGAGTGGACTATCTTCTGCATCTCTCGGTAGATGCGATCAGATTCCAGTAAGTCACCAATTTATGAACTGGCTAAGATAAAATGTTATGATTAACTCATCTTGCTATTATCTCACAATGCCTGCCTGCAGGAGATAACTTCTAATAAATATATGTGAAGAGGACAACACTTGCCAACTCTTTATAATCGAGCTTTTAATCTTGGTTTGTCCTTTTTTGACATTTGTAATAGAGTATTTCCTCTGGGATGGATATAATCCTTTCTCCAAAACCCAAGAGATTAAAAAAAGGATGTTAGTAATGAAATATAGAATATAGTTTTATGATTGTGTAAAGATTAGCTGGTCCAGGTAACTTGAGGGGTCTCTCTCTCTCTCTCTCTCTCTCTCTCTCTCTCTCTGTGTGTGTGTGTTTGTGCAAGAGAGAGACACACAGACAGACAGATAGACAGACAGAGACAGTGTCAGAAAGAGAGACAGAGAGAGATTTTGCTCATGTTTGCAATCATCACACTATATCACCATAAGAATTATTTCTACTATATGCCTGGATTTTTAAAATACGGTACTTTTCTTATTATACTATTATAAATGATTATTTTGTTGTGCAAATTAGATCTTAATACAGTAAGATAGAGTAGTCTGTCTGGTATCATCCTTCCCAGCTTGGTATCTATAGAGATATTGGTTGATGACTTTCAAAATTCCCACCCAACTCATCGCCAAGCATTCTGAATATTGAAGTCCTATAATGCCATTTTGAGAACAATGTACTATATTAGACTATCATATGGGAGAGGTGTACTGTATGTCTACAGGTGTTAGAAGGCTTAGCTACTTGAAAGCAATACTTAATGACTCCCGGTTTTGTTGGGAAAATGGGAGTTGAAAGAAAAACAGGCTTTGTTTTTTGCAGGCTTTGTTGCAGGCTTTGTTTCTATATAAGCAACCCAGGATAGCACAAGAAAACTGCATGGATGCAGCCTATAGAGGTTCAGTTTTTCTTGAGGCTGCCTTAACCTTCTACAGCAGAGGGTGAGGAAAACTGCCTGGTGCAATTTAACCCATTTATATTTGGAAGTAGGTCCCACTGTGTTCAATGGGGTTTCTTCCTTATTCAGTGAATTTAAAATGTGAGTCAAAATTCTTCAGTTGGCTATAAACAAGGAGATCCGCAAGAATGCATTATTGCTTTTGGAAAGACTTAAGTTAGCTGTAGAGCAAAAATAAAACAGCTGCACTCATATAATGTGCTACATCCAAAAAATAAGCTATGATATGATTCATACAACATGCTAAAATAATGGATGACTATTTCAATTTACCCAACCCCATTTTAATCTAATCTAGCAGGCTGTACAAATCAAGTCAAACTGTTTGAGAACTACAATTACCTGCTTCCTTGATTAAGTTCCCTTAATTTTGTTTTCTATAATTGTAAATTAAGCAGAGAAAACTGTAGCTGTCCAGATACCAAATATTATTGAATTACAGCTCCCAACATCCCTAATGAACGTGCCCAATAAAAAATACTGCAGTTTTAATTTAGCAACAGTTAGTGGGTCACAGAGTATCTATTTTAGCAATAAATTTCAGTGCATGTAATTTAAAGTAAATCAAACTCCTTCCATTTAGAAAATACAGTCCTATGAAAATCCTATTAACTTCAAGAGTCTGTAGTGAATTCCAGAGAAGTAAAATATAATTTTTAATTGGTTGTAATAACTGCATTGCAACCAATTATATGCAGGTGTCCTGTTCCCATCGCATGCCAGTCAGCAGAGATTCAATCAAATCTCTGTATTTTAGTATATAATTACTTTAACCAGTCCAAAAAAATCATCATTTGGGACACATGATGTTCTCACTTAAGTGTTCCCATAACACAATCAATGAATGGTGGTAACTTGACTTATTTTGAATTAACTTTAACCTGTGGGAGAAATTTTGTAGACTTTTTTCAGGCTTTTATTAAAAGGAATCAGCTTTTGTTAGCTGGAAAATGTGCTACCAAACTCCTGAGGTTTTTTGTCACCATGGACTAACACTTCCTTCTGTAATGTCTAATCCTTAGGAATTAATTGTCTAGGTTAATTGATCCATTTTTAGTATTTCTATAATGTCCTAGCTCCTTCCTTAACTCTGGTAGGCATATTGTGAAGATAGAGCTAGAATGTTGGGTTTGACTCAGAAGAGATTCAGTTCCACATTAATATGTATTGTCAGATGCAGCTGCATATGTTGGGAGAGTGGGAGGAGGGATGAATTTTGGCAATGAAAAGGTTGGAATGGGAATATACTTGTAAACAAAAGAGACAGTAATGGAATATTAAAGTAAAAGCTCAGAAAGGAGCAGAAGATTGAAGTATCTTAATATGAGCCTTTCTGTAAAGAAACTTTTACATAATGATATGTATTTGCATTAGCAAATGGGCTTACCTCAGACAATTTACTTTGCAAATGAAAACTATAATTGAAGACAAGATTGAAAGGAGATGTAATGGTATATAGGAATGACCCCAAGAGACAGGAAAAAGAACTGCAGCCTAGAAAACAATACATGAATGTTGAGGGGTAGGGTGGGGTAGGAGGGGTAGGGTGGAGAATGTATCTCAGAAGGGATTCTCCTTAGTTTTTGGAGAGCAAAAGTAAGGGATGGGAGCGGCACATTCAAGCTTGCATGAGTCTTTTAATGCAACCAGCCAGCAACGTGCAGCAGCAGCCAAAAAAGCTAATATAATCCTGGGTTTTATAAACAGAGGCATAGAATCAAGATCACGCAAAGTATTAGCACTTCTTTATAAAATCCTAGTGAGAGCACACCTGGAATACTGCAACCAGTTTTGGTCACCATATCACAAAAAAGATGTTGAGAGTTTGGAAAAAAGGCCTGGAGACTAAAACATATGAAGAACGGCTGCAGGATTTGGGTTTGGCTAATCTAAAGAAAAGAAGAGTAGGGGGAACATGATAGCAGTATTCCAATATTTGAGAGGCTGCCACAAAGAACGGGGGTCAAATTATTTCCAAAGCACCAGAGAGCAGGACAAGAAACAATGGTTGGAAACTGATCAAAGAGAGAAGCAACCTGGAATTAAGGAGAAACTTCCTAACAGTGAGGTCAATTAACCAGTGGAACAGCTTGCCTTCAGAAATCGTGGGTGCTCCATCACTGGAGATTTTTAAGAAGATACTGGACAGTCACTTGTCTGAGATGGTATAGATTCTCCTGCTTGAACCGGGGGGGTTGGGGCCTGGATAGAAGGCCTTCAAGGTCCCTTCCAGCTCTATTCTATTCTAACCTTACAATAAAAATAGAGACATTCACTGTTGTGCTTCCTGTCTAGACTATTTTAAAGAGTTAACAAAAGTTCATTCTACCTGCACACATAATACTCAAGAAGTAGAGCGGCTCCTGGTGCAATCAAACCTATATTATTGATGGGATCCCAAGGGTGGCAATGAATCAGGAAAAAGGAGAATAAACTACCAAGCAAGAATGACAGCCCCTCAGGCTTAATTTGTTGGCTTGAAAATTGTTTTTTGTTCAGAAATGATGGAGAGCTGGACCTCAAATGGGTGCTATCTGTGAAATAGTTTTCTGGCAACTTTCCACAAACTGTTGACCTCAAATATGCAAGTCTACATCTCATTGAATTCCTAATTAGCACCATTTTGCTAGGTTGGATATTGGAAGTTCAGTACATTTGGTGAGAATTAAATTAATGAAAGGTTTTTTTTTAGTTATCGACTGTAAAAACCTAGATGACTTCTAAATGGCAATATTTTCCTCTGTATCTTTACTACCATCTGATGGTCCTCCAGATTTTTTGCAGTCTAAATATGGCCCAGATTTTAACATTGGAAACTCATATTTTTATAAGCTGTGCAATTGAAGCTTTCAGTGGTGATGAGAAAGCATATAGCCATTGAAAGTGTGTCGATCACAATGCTACAGTAGAAATAGAAAACTAATTTATTAATCTTTTCTTTTTCTTTTTGCTATGTACAAGTTTAATGGAGACATCTTTGTGCCTGAAATCAAAAGAACAGAAATTGTTTCCCCTTTTTAGATATTTAACATTCAATAATTAACAGAGGAAAAGTACCCAAGCCAGCTACATCATTTCTTTATCGATCATGCGTCTTGTCTGAAAATTGTTAGCAGGCAGCAGTGAAGAGGAATTCACTTGCTCCTGGTCCTGGCAATTAATAAAACACATCTTTGAAAATGACAACATGGAAACAGCAGGCTTGATAAAATACATGCCATGGAGAGAGAAAGAAAATGGGAAACTGATAATAAAAATCCACAAATACTGCACTGCCATATCAAAGTTGTCAACCCCACCGGGAAGTGTATCAGGGAAATCTCAGTTCTAAAAAAACCCTGAAGCCATAAGCCTGGAGTTAGAATCTGGTTTCATGTCCAGTTTTCCTAAGTGGTCAAAAACACCCCAAGGATAAATGCAAAGAAGCAAAACTTGGTCTTCTGTCTAAGGAATAGGCTGGTAGGATTGTGAACTGGACCCACAGACACTGCTGGCGAGAATGAAGGCTGCATTTTTTGAAAGCCTACTTCCCCGATGGAAATGATTTTTCCTAAACATAGAAAGGTAATATAATAGAAGGAAAGAGTTACCATTACCTGTTCTCTAACATGTTATCATACTAAATGTAGATTTCTTTTTAAATTTTATTCATATAAATGTAAAAATTGTGAAATATTATTACACAAAGCAATTCTGAATTTTATTTCAAAGAAAATAGACTTCCCTTCAGATGCTAAGATTGGTTGGCTGATCATTGACAAAGCAGAATAGTACGAATGGGGGTTGGCTTCTTTGGCCATGGCAGCTCTGAAATCAATTCACAACATGTTTATAATCTGAGAAGGAAACGACAATGACAACAACGACAGCAATCCAGGAAATGTCCATTTGTTTAAATCTCATTCTGTTCCTTCAGGTCATCGGCCAAGCCATCGTACTCAATGGAACGTGGGGACATCCCCAGATACTGCTTCAGGAATTCACTGAACCTTTTTTGGTTGTGCCATTTCCGGGCTGATTTCCGAACACCAATGAAGCCTCCAAATCGTTTTTGGAGCTCTTGCACCTCAGGTTCTTCCATCTGCCCATAGTTGAATGGGTCACTCAGGAAATCACCCGCCGTCTTGGGAATCTTGAGCTGATCACGTAAATCCCCAGGTGGAGTTTGGCTTCCATCACTGGTGTCGTCTTCTGCCTTTCGCTGACGGATGAAATCACTCAATTTGGACACTTGCTTATCTTCCCCATTGCTGAGATCCACCATTCTGGTCAGGTCACCATGATGTTTCAGGTTACTTCTGCCTCCTTTCAGGCTGCCATCCCACATCTCCAGTGGCCATTTCATTTCTTCCAGGCTACTATGGACTAGGGACAAAGAATCTTTTCCAATGATGGCTTTATGGCAGAGTCCCCAGGTAGCGCTAGAAAACAGTTTCCCTTCACACTCCATTACACAGATCTGTAGGGAGGAAACAAGGACAGTTAGTAATATGCCCCACTTTTTGAATGTGAGCAAAGGTACAAATCATAATCTTTGCTGAAGAAAGTCAAAAGGATATATTACAGAAAATTATTTTTTTAAATAATTCTGTTTCTGATTTTTTGTTAGACATATGGCTTAATTTACAAAGAATAAGTTTCAGAATCCCTAGCTGCAATAGAGATGGCAATTAAAATATGTTATATTTGTTCTGATTTCCTTTTTGGAAATTCTTTATGGCTTTCCTTAAATCCTACAGGTTTACAGACTAATTCAGAAATCAAGACATCTGTTTGGATTTGGTCTTCACTATGAATTCACCAAGAATTTTTACTCATGATCTGACAGATAGTGATAATCTAATAGTAGTAGTGGTAGAAACAGAAGACAGTTTCAAATCAGTCTCCTATTATATGAATAGTGGCCATTGAAGACTGATCAGAACTTGCATTCAAAATGGAATTTTCAATTGCTTCCTAGGATCTTGGGGAGCAAATGCCATCAATCTTTCAATATGCTACAGCTTTTGAATTTTTGTTCTGGTCCAATATGAAGTGTTAAAATTGTTGTTTTTGGCTTAGTCCTGCTCATTCTTCTGTTGATTTAATCATGGAGAAGATCTATATGCAGAGTTCTCAGAAGCCAGATTCTCAGGCTGTGTTGCTGTTGAATCAGCAGATCTGTCAGAAATTAGGAGTCTGTTCTCTGATAGTGATTATTAATAAGAACAGCCACCCCAGGATGCCTTCAAGAATTTTCAAATCTAGTTGTGTGCCCAGTCTAAATAGCATAGCATTTAGACTTAAATACCACTTCACAGTGTTTTACAGCACTCTCTAAGAGATTTACAGAGTCAGCATATTGCCCCCAACAATCTGGATCCTCATATTACCGATCTCAGAAAGATGGAATGCTGAGTCAATCTTGAGCTAGTCAGAATCAAATTCCTGGCAGTGGGCAGAGTCAGCCTGCAATACTGCATTCTAACCACTGCACCACCTGCACCACTCTGTAAAATAGATGAAGGATATCAGTTTGTCTAATATGAATTAAAATCAGTGCTTTTTTTTGTAAAAAAAAGGGTGCCGGAACTCACACATGTCATACAACCTGCCTTGCCTACCCTACAAGATTCCATCCAAAAAAGGTGCTGGAACTCTGTTCTGGGCATTCTATGACAAAAAAAAAAAAAAAGCCCTGATTAAAATAGTTTTCTTTCTTTCTTAAAAATTTGAAGAGACATAAAACATTTAATTCAGGGGAATGATGAGGTGGTCAAGTCTACTTGTCACTAATGGCATTGTTTCCTGAGGAGGTATCGAAAAACTAAACCACGGTAATCTTTGCAACCATTTGAAACCAATGTTCAAGTTTGTGCTCCTATAAACACTGTTGAATACAGATTGTACCTGGTCCTGGCTATGGATTGGAGGATTGTTTCTTGGAATCAATCCCACATTAGTACTTCTCTCCATTAGTATCTACAAGGAAAAATGTATTTTCTTTGGTACTGATTTTCCAAGCGTTCACATATAAGAATTCATATCTGAAATGCTTATTACCTCTCTAAAACAAAATAGGGTTTCTGCTTTTTGTACCACTTTGCCCGATAAAGAATTCTAGAGAACTCAGAAACATGTATGTTCAAAAACAGTGCTGTCAAATGATGGGTTTTGCAGTATCCTTATTTTTTAAAAAATAGTTATGTATATTCATTATGTAGATACCACCAATTTCAGAAGGACTTTTAACAAAGTTATGTAAAAGCACTATAAATATTTTTCTAAATGAGTGCATCAAATCAAATAAAATTTTAGGATTATCTGTCACTCTGGATAGATTGTTTATCTAAACTCATGTCTGTGGAAATACAAAAAAACAAACAAACCCAAACATGATGAAAACAATAGCTTGTGTGCCGTGATAAGGCAGCTAAACCAACTGCTAACAGAGAAAACAATTGCTTTTAGAAATACTAGCATGGTTGCAAATATTCAGCAATCTGGGCATGAAAAAGGAAAGTGGGGTTGATCACACTTGGCTTTTAATAACCTCTTACTGTGAATTCAATTCCCTTTGAATGAAAGGGAAGTGCCAGCCCTGGTTGCCATCTCATAATTGGTTTCGGTTAGATACTAACAACCTCTTTAAATGGTTATTTGTGATGAATTAGCTCTGTAGTGAGAAGATGCTGGAACAATATGGTTAGAGTCAGAAAAGGTCTTCTCTGTCACCATTATGAGAAATAACAGGCCTTATTTTTTTAACTGGGATTTTCTGGAGTACGTATTAAGTGTCACCACTTGAGTGAATGTCAATAATTGAGGGCATTTGTGCACCATGAACTTTTTCACTTGGTGATCTCTCAGATAGAGTTGAAAATTATCAGCAATTGTCTTTACTTCTTGGAGTCAAACAACAAGGAATGACCATCACTTCCTGAACCTGAGCTGTCTCAGATAAAGGATTGGAGAAAGAGAAAAAGAGATCTATAAAAAGGGAAAGAACAAGAAAAGCAACCTGGCCCTTTGTAATTCCTGGTCCTTTGTCAAAGAAAAGGAGGAAACTGACCAGTCTGTCAACCTCACCCACTTTATTTCATCAGGACTATTGAAGGGTAGAAATTAGTAAACCAATTTATTCCCTCTAAAGATCTTGTTAGGAATGGGAGGTGGGTAACAGTTCCTCTAAAAAAAGGGGAAACATTTCAAAGCCTTGCAGAAGCTTGAAATGTTTTTCGACTATTCTGTTGTCATCATGTGGTGACAGAAATCAGGAACTGCTTTTAAACTAGCCCAAAAACCATTAGTTGGAAGTGTCTTCAGGATTTCAAGCTCTTCATCCTCAACCTGTATAGATTATACCTATGTCTGCATCAGGAACTTTTTATCCTGCCTTATGCCGTGTCCTAATGCCACATACACAGAATAACTAGGATGTTCTTGTAGGATTTATGGTTCTTCTAGAAGAGCACTACACAAGTCTTCAGAAATAGTCTAATTGTTATAAGGGTTGTGAAGACCACTGGGAGAGATCCCTATCCTCTCATTTCAGCCCCATCTGCACGATCTATCTGGTGAATGTGGAATGATGTGAGAGGGAGCAATCAATAGATGCTGCAGGAGAAATCTATTCTGAGGTTTCATTTTAAGCTATAATATGGATTATTTATGCGGGCATAGCATGTTTTGTGACTACAACAGTACTAAGTGTTTATAGAGTGTGGTGTAATCCCTGCCTCAGTTAGAGCTTCTCAGATGAGAATGTCTATGGAGATTCTCAGTCATCCAGATCATGGTTGTCCCAAAGGTGCTTTCTTTCAAAAGGCAACTGGACTTTCTTGTTTTGCTTGAAGACATTTCACTTCTCATCCAAGAAACTTCTTCAGTTCTCCACCATGCAGTCAGAACTGAAAAAGCTTCTTGGATGAGAAGCGAAACGTCTTCAAGAAAAACAAGAAGGTCCAGTTGCCTTTTGAAAGAAAGAACCTTTGGCACAGGCTTAGATGAGAAGCAAAATGTTTTCAAAGAAAAAACAACAACCAAAAAGCACCTTTGAGGCTCTGCCTCTGTGGTGATACACTAAATGATTTTACAAAAGGAAACAAATATTTTGGGAATTAGCAAGATTTCCTTGCATCTTTGCCCTCTCCTACATAGCTTGACCTGTAGTTGTGGGCAGTCTAAAAGCAAAGAATTCCTCTCATCCTCCCCCCCAAAAATAAATTCAAGGAAACCAGTACAGCCCTCATCCTCAAAGGTCTTCTTGTGGATTTGTGCACCAAAAGGTTTTAAAATAGAAGGTATGACTGCTCAGAGAAGGTGAAATTGAAACAATAATATTTTCTAGATTATCTAGAAAAAAACCTCTTGTTGTTGGTAGGCTTTCAAAGAGAACCTGCCTTAAGATGTAGCTGGCTCCTGTAATCTACAGATCATCATCCACACTCAAATCAATAAAGAGCAGGTATTTCCACCTCATCTAATATGGTCCTCATGTCTTTATTCTCTTGGGGACAGCAGCAACGGACAGCTTGCAAAAGGTCTGTTCCTTCTGCAGTGCCCTTGGAAGTTGACTCAAGGTGGAGCCAATTATGTAAATTTGTTATTGCTGTATAATGAGGAGGCCATGCGGCATGACACAGAGCAGAAAGGCTATTCAAATGAATATTAACGATCTGTCAATTGCATTTTCTAATTGTAAAGAGGTTCTACTGCCAGCAGGATGGAGAATGGTCTAGTTAGCCAGCTTTATTCATTCATTCTGACTCTTAAACTGCCCAGCCATATCAGTAGTTAGAAAATCAGCAATTGAAGTTACAGATGAAAGGTTACATTTCTTAATGTTGAGAACACCATTAATGACAACATTCTTACATCTTACTGATGTTAGCCTGAACTACAAGTAATGAATAAAAAAAACAATCATAGTAGTCATATCTCAAGCCGCTTGCTAAAGGCACACAATATCTGCCTATCTGTCCATCTGTCCATCCATTTAACCATCTTGCAAATTATGGCTTTGGTGGCTAACATAAACTTAAAAACACAAACAAGATTAACATTAAATATAAACACCATGAAAGCAAAATATAAAGTAGCACAAATGTAGGCCAAATACAACAACTCAAACTGTTTACTGATTGGACTCATTCTAAAGTCTGGCCCAGAACCTGAAAAAAACAAAACAAAACAAAGCTAAAAAGCTTTTAAAACCTTCAGGAAGAATAACAGGTTTGGGACATCTAAATCTCAGGGATATGCTATTTCTGGAGGGAAAGGCAAGCCTCCAGGATCCCATTAGATAACATTGTTTTATAAAAGAAACTAATGTATGTCTCAGATATTATAGGATAGGTAGACATCTTCTAGTGGGTGCAGAATAAGCCTATTGAATGGAAAGTCCCTCCCTCCCTCCCTTGAATTGACAAGAGTTCACTCAGTTTACCTTCCCAGCCCAACCAAGGGAAGTTTTCTTCACTTTTTTTTAAAAAATGATCCAATGCTAGATAGGAAGGTGTCAATGATGTGATGGAATCAACAGATGGATGTCATAAAAGGAATTTTAGGAGGGGCATATAATCATGGACCTGTCCACAGAAAAGAAAGCAACAGGAATTTCTTCTTGTGTCATTTAAGAATAGGAGAACCCACCAAAGCACAGTCCAAGCCATCGGGCAGGGTGGAGTTGAAATCTGGAAAGAGATGATTTAAGATGGTTTCATTCCAGCCAGGTATGAGAGTCAAGAGGCTTAAGACTGCAGTGTAGAAAAACCTCACATTTTCCTAGATTATCCCTGGCTTCCCAGATTATCCCTTGGTTGTGTGTCTCATTTTTGATCACGCTATTTTATTTAATTGATTGTGACAATATTATAGACAAATCTTTATTTCAGCAAAGGATTTAATAAATTGCCCCATAATCACACAATATACCAGTACCCTAATTAATTATGGCTTGCTGGCATGATTACAAGTCAATATATGAATGAGATGCCACAGGATTTGATGCATGGATCCTTTATTGTTCAACATTTAGGTGAGAAATTAAATCACCTTGGAGGACATATATAGGGTCCCCCTAACCAACTTGTTCAGACTGAAGAATCTACTTGGATAAAGAGCAAAATATTTCAAACCAAAAAGAAAAGAAGTCTAATAACCATGATTCAATTTCCAGATTACAACTTTCATGATTAAGTGGAGGGAATGCTTAACAAATTTTATGATACAACATTGGTTAGGCAGCTAATATTGTAGAACAGTGTTTCTTAAACTTTTTTCCTCTGAAGACCCTTTCCCACTTTTAAAAATTATGGAGGAACCCCAAAGTGCTTTTGTTTGTATGGATTATATTTATCAATATTAACTATATTAAAAATTAAAATGGGCATGTTTGCTATCACTTCCCACAATTGTTTGATGGGATTTTAATATTGTATTATTTTTCGACATAGGCTGGCAAATAATTTTGACTTTGTGGTCCCCTGAGTGGGTCTTGGAGAACTCCCAGGATACTAGGATCGTAGTCCAAGAAACAGTGCTGTAGAAGATAGAAATAGGATTGAAATAATCTTGATAGGTGAGGCACACTTGAAAGAATGTTACATAGAAGAATGTCAAAATCTCTATCATTTCAAAACACAGGACATAGAATAAAGGATTTAAATTATAGGAAAGCAGATTCCAATTAAACATTAAACTTCTCCATAGTAAGGACAGCTTCACAATGAGGCCAATTATTCATAGAGGGTGATTGCCATATTGGATAGAAAATGGGGTTTGATGGCCTGGCTCCCTTTCCATTTCTACAAATCAGGATTCCTCTAGAAAAGGTAAAAAATATTGATCATATCTTTTCTGTGACATCACTTAGTGTCAGTCCCTATGGCCCTTGGAGCTACATTAAAAAAAAAAACCTTACAGAAACCTAGCCTAATTTAGCAGGATTCTTCTTAAATTCCTAAATGTGTGCCTTCACTTCATTTTTAAAATAGATGATTAGGTGTACTCTGTATCCGGGAGAAGGTGCAAGTTGCTTCTGCTAGAATGTATTTTCTAGGTGGTGATGTGAATAAAAAGAATTATACAGAAATTCATCTTTTGGGGTCTATTCAATATGAGCTATGGTGGTGCAGTGGTTAGAATGCAATTTTGCAGGCTAACTCTGCCCACTGCCAGCAGTTCGATCCTGATCGGCTCAAGGTTGACTCAACCTTCTTTCGAGGTCAGTAAAATGAGGACCCAGATTGTTGGGAGCATTGTGTTGACTCTGTAAACCCCTTAGAAGTCTATATGTGCTATTGCTAAAACAAGCAAAACAGGGAATAGAAATGATCATCAAAAAGGAAGAGTGATCATAATAACAGAGAAAGAAAACACCTTTACCAAAATTCTTCTGCTTTTAAGCAATTGAGGAGGAAGATATAATAAAGAGAAATGCATTTCCTGTTTAGCTTTCCAGACAGGAGGCCAATTGAATGATTTACCTTATTGGAAGAATGTTAATGGCTCTGGGGCATTAAATATGCATTTAGATAAATCCCTTTATTTACTCTGATGGGAAAGTTACATCTTCAGCATTGTCTTCCCCAATAAGCTGAAGCCTTTTGGGGAACATCTGTAGTGGAAATTAATCAAAAGCAGAGTGTGAGGTTAAGAGTGTGAACAAAGGGACCAGGGGAGGAAGGTTACACATTTTCAAGACTTCCTGCACCAATGGCAACTATTGTGCAGGAGAGCGTTAGCTCAAATAATGCCAGAGCCAAAATCAAAGGGTTCGGGGGGGGGGCAAGGTAGAATACCAATGACAAGTCTCTGATGATGGCAAACAAGGTGACTTACATATCTATGCCAGAGGGTCACAATGTCATGATGATGTCATGTTGTAAGTTGTTGCCATTTTGATATCATTGTGATTTGTTGACCACATGAAATCCAGTTTGCTGTAGTGGTGAAGGCATCAGGTTAGAATATGGGAGACTGTGAGTTCTAGTCCTGTCATAGGCACAAAGCAGCTGGGTGACCCAATTATTCTCTCTTAGCCCTAGGAAATAGGCAATGGCAAACCATTTCCAAAATCTTGCCAAAAAAACTGCATGAACTTCTTCATGTAATCACCAGGAGCCAAGACTGATTTGAAGGAAATTTTTTTTGTTGGAGGACAGAACACAGGAATATTTCAGAATTACCACAATGGAAAGCACCCAGTTATGATGTCATTTGGTCAATGAAGGGCAGGAGAGTTATCTTAACTTGCTACCAGAATGATATCCCTGTCTGGAAGAAACCCTAATCTTTGGGATTTTTTGGGGTGTGTGTGTGAGACCAAACTAGCTGCATTTCAAAAAAGGTTGCACTGCAGGTAGGACATATATAGAGCATGAACATGTAACATGTAAGCCAGGAATGGGGAACTATGGCTGTTTTATGATCTGTGGACTTCAATTCTCAGAATTCCTGAGCCAGAATTCTGGGAGATGAAGCAGTGGTGGGATTCAGCCAGTTCGCACCAGTTTGGCAGAACCGGTAGCTAATTTTTTGTTGCTCAGGCCCAGAATGGACTTCCAGAAGCAGCATCACACAGAGAACCGGTTGTTCACATATTTAAATCCCACCAATGAGATGAAGTCCACAAATCATAAAGGGGCCATAGTTCCCCACCCCTGATGTAAGCAAAGACGATTGCTGGGATTACTTACCAGAAGGCTGAAGTCATCTTGGTGGCTGTACAGATGTTTATGGCAGTTCAGACAGTCCTTCCGGCAGTCACCGAGGGCATAGGCCAGCAAGCAGAATGATATGATCTCCCACAATAGCATCCTCATGATGTCACGTTGGAAGCTACATGAGAAGAAATTAGAGAATGGTTATTGCCAATAAGAAAAAGCTTGGCAATGTGCTATCATAAGCAGCAACAGGGCTAACAGCCACCTTCCTGGATGCCTTCAAGGCAACTTGCTCTCTGGTTTTTACTGTTTTCATTAAAACATGAAAATAATAAAAACACTGGCCTGTTACTAAGTTAAGAGCCATCCTCCAGCATCTCCTCTAGTTCAAAAAATGCTGCTGGTTCCACACGAAACAGCATTTTTAGAAAATAAAAAAGTTGATAGTTACTAGAAAGTGTTTTGTTTAGGACTATGCCCACCTCCTCAGAAAGAAATCCCTCAAAGTAAGTAGGAGGTGAAAACAACCATCTTGGGGGATTTCAGAAAATGACAGGATATAAACTCACAGGTTTGCCTCCTCAGTAGCTATTTTGTGAACAGTCAAGTCTCTCTCCCCATATCCCCCGGAAACCATTTTGTAAGAGCACCCATCACCTGAGCTTAAAATTTCAGCTATATCTAGGAGGACCATCAGAAGTGAAGACATGCTTCAGGTCCTTTGAAGTGAACTGAAAGCAAAAAAGAACTGAGATGTGTGTTTTGCTTCATCATTTGTCATTTTTCTGCTCAGGTTTGTTTCTGCACTAGGGAGAAAAAATGTGAGCACAAAGTAAGGAAGATGATATATACTGGCTCATTCATATGATCTGGTTATTGAATTAATCTATTTTCCAGGGATTGCACAAACACTGAATCTTAAACTAACCTTCCTATGTGTGCACACCCGTGTGCACATGCAATGGAAGTTACCATGCTGGGCAAATATATCTCCTAAGTGTTGATTAAGTGTTGATTTGGTTAAGAGTATTGTAGGAATGCAAGGATTTGTTCATGCCTAAAAGGCACTGCTTTATAAATATATGTAAATATACATTCAAAACAAGTCTATTAATGTCTTATAAAACAGCATGACTCTAAACAAAAAATAAAGGTAAATTTATCCTATTAGGGAGCTTTATAACTCATAATATTGAATTACTGTGTTTGCATAACAATTGGTTTTATTTAGAAATCTATTCTCATGGGCTATTCTAAACAAATATTTTTCAAAAATGGTTAATTATACGTATTTAATGTTTAAATCAAAATGTTGCATTCTTAAATCTGTCAGTTAATAATATATTTCTAATTCAAACTCTATAAAATCATTAGGATAAACATGACACAAAAAGTTGTTTTTGTACTTTTGTATATTGAAAAGTTAGTAATAAGTACCCAGATGTGTCAGACTATAAATCCCATCCTTCCTAGCCAGCATGGATTGATTGTTTGTCACATAGTCAGCCCTATGCTTAGGCTGGATTTGGCATTTTTATCTACCTATCAAGTTCTTCCCAAGGATCTGGGATAGGCAGATGTTGATGTTTGATGGCATTTCAGGTATTGATATATATCAAATTCTTCTGGATCATTATGTTACAGTCCCTGATCGGCTTACATCTATCTTTATCATCTAGTTACAACCATTCAGGAGCTCAAGACAGTGGTTCTTTCCCTTTCTCTCATTTTATACATGCACATGAATATGTTGTGCAAAAATTTTGAAATATTTGAAAAAGATGCTAGAACCAAACATAGCTCTTCCCTGCACCTGCTGTGTGATCCAGGAAACAAAGCAGCTGCTTTAAAAGGGCAGAGGGTTGTTACAATTGCACTTCATATGTTCCAAATCACCTTCTTAGAAACTACTCTGAAGCATCACACATTATCATTAGATTTTTCAGTATCTTACTAGTTGCAATTGCAATAGCTGTATTGCAAAGATGTAATCTTGGAAGCAATTAAGATACTATAAAATACACTGGCAATGACATATAGAAACAGAAGTAAAAGAGATTAACCCCTAGGAATTTATAATTTATATTTTATAGAAAATAAATTTGTAGATTGCCTTAAAATGGAACTGTGCATATTTATGTATGAGTGATCTATAAATACTAGGTATAATAGATAAATGGAATTTTATTATGTAGACATAGTATACCTCTCTATTCTGGAGGGAAAAGAAATTATCTTCACCTTAATATCATGTTAGTTTTTTTTTTTTTATAGTGTAAAATGGCCATATCTAGCTAGGAATCGGGTGGCCTTAAATCTAATAAAATCAATCAGTTTTTCTATTAATTTCTCAGAGGCCAATGGCTACCAGGTTTGGGTTTGAGCAAGCAGAACTTTTCAGTTTCAAAAGACCCAGCAGCTACTCATGAACAGATCTCTTTTACAGCTTTCTACAAGCATCTCTTTCACCACACCTGTGTGATGAAAAGATTGACAACTAGAACACCGAGCTCTGTTTTTTGGTCAGCTGAATTTGGTCTGGGGACTCAAAAATTAAGCCACAAAATTTTAGATAAGGCCTGCTATGAGGATGGATTTGAAGGGTAAGAGAGATGTCAGCATTATTGCAAACACAAGCAATCTGTGAGCAAGCGGTGCAGAGACTAACATTCAATGGATGAATTGTATCCACTGTTAGGGAAAGCCTACCACGGGTGCTGGGGAGTGGAAGATGCTTTCCCTCCCAGCTTGTTTCATTTGTATAACAATCCAGGAAGAAAGTGCTATGCAATTATACGTTCACTTAATCTAGCAGAATAGCCCCAGGCAATCCTTCCACCAAGACTGTTAAAAAGGCTAAATTGTGTTGAGTATTCATGAGAATCTGCTCTCTTTTCATTTCTCTCTCTGTCTCCTTGTCTCTCTCTGTCTTTTGTGAAACTTCTCTTCTGTGGTTCATTGAATAAGAGAACAATGACTCCCAACTAGGTTCAGGACCTTTTGACAGAAGACTGAAAAATGGTGCTCCCTGCCTAGAAGCAAGGAAATTCTTCTGATAATCCAAAGATGACTTATAAACTCTTCATAATCCTATCTCTCTGCTGCCAAAGCTTTGAAGTGAACATTGTGTAAAGCAGCATGCATTAAACAGCAATGTTATTTGCTCATCTCCAGGGAAAGAGATGTTAAGACTATTTTCTGAATACATCAGGAAATGTGCATTTTTAATAATATTCCTGGTAGATGATGGAGACATTTGAAACTAATTTTCTAACATAGCTGACTGCATATCAGATATTCTTGTTCTAAAATTCATATTAGAACAATGACTGCATTAGGCCAACTAATGAAAGGTTGCATAAATGTGCAAGCTCTTGAAATTTACAAATCTGTTCATCAGGCAATATTCTGCAAAAAAGCAAGTTGCAATGGGGAAAGATTTGGGAAAAAGTAGGCTTAAGAAAAAAAATCCTATATTTTAAATGGAGATAAGAGATGGTTTTTTTTTGTTTGTTTTTTGTATGGGTGCACTTTTAAGTCAATCCAGTGACTGCCTGGATTGATCTTTACAGTTTTCTAGGCAAGGGTTTTTGGAAGTGGTTTGCCATTGTCTTCTTTCTGGGATTGATAGAGAGTGACCAGTTGGCTTTGGTCTGATTTCTAATCTGGGGCCTAGAACCACAACACTTAATCCTTAGAATATGACAAGTGGGAACAAACTTTCTATTGCTAAGCAAAGCACATGTTAAGTGTTATACCCCAAAACAAAGGGCATGTTGTAGATTTCATAAAAATTCCCTAACACACATTCACAGGGCTTTTTTTCTCATAGAATGCCCAGAACGGAGTTCTGGCACCTTTTTTGGATGGAACCTTATAGGGTAGGCAAGGCGGGTTGTATGACGTGTGTAAGTTCCGGCACCATTTTTTTTTTTTTTTTTTAGAAAAAAAGCACTGCACATACATACAACTTCACGGTTAAGAACTAACTGTACAACAATGGAAAATTCTACCTATGGAGAATATGGGTTCTCAGTCTCTGGAAGTTTTTAAGAAGAAACTGAAAACAGCCATCCCTAGTAGATGGTTTAATTGTTTTTCCTGCATATTGCAGGGGGATTGGATTTGATTACTCTTGAGGTGCCTTTCAACTCCACAATTCTAAGATTCCACACTGAGTTAAAAATGCTAGCCATAGCTTAGCTGACTTCAGGTTTTACAATCATTCAAATAATCTAAAGAGGATATGATGAAAGTAAGTAGGGCAACTGCTGAGGAGTTTTTTTTACAATTCAATGGATTTCCAACTAAAAACCTTGTAAAAATAAGGAATAGTGCTAGTATACTCAACAAATCTACACAATCTCTTCTCACTCATACAATTCTTCATACATGTGTGTATTTTCTCCCTATGACCTTACTCAAATAGACACATGGGATTTTTGTTTTTTGGGTTTACTGACAGAATATGGCAGCAACAGTTTTTCTGGTAATGATCTTTAAAAGTTTGCACTGGCAACTGCCAAGAGGAAGAAGAAAGTCCTGGAGGGTGTCAGTGAGGACAATTAACCAGTGGAACAGCTTCCCTTCTGAAATCATGGGTTCTCCATCACTGGAAATTTTTAAGATGAGACTCACTACTAGACAGTCACTTCTCTGAAATGGTATAGGTTCTCCTGCTTGAGCAACGGGCTGGACTAGAAGACTCCCATGGTCCCTTCCAGTTCTATTCTATTCTAATTCTATCCTGATCTTTGGTTCAGATTCCTTGAGACCCATATCTGTATTGTACCTACGTGAATTCTTATTGTTCCAAGTATTAGAGAGAAATGCTAATATTTGGGGGCTACTAAAATGGATGATCACTAGAATGCAGCAAACAGAATACTGTAGTTCAATCCCTTGCTGCCATTCAATGCTTTTTTCTGAAATTTTGCAACCCTAATATGGTAGTTCTATGGGAGAGAAACAGATTAGCCCCCCAAAATTGGAAAAAAGGTAAGATTACCAGAGACTGAAAACAGACAGAGGGCAACCCAAGGAAAAATAAACCAACCAACAAGATAGTTCTTCATAATTCTAGAAATTTAGCCAATCTGGTCAGACTTTATTTAGTTACTGAGAAAACTACATGAACGCATCCTTGAGTCACCTGAAGCTGAGCTCACTAGAAGG